TTTTTACCACCTTCTGCAGTCTGAAATTGATCAAACATGCAATCAAGATGCATTGATAATTACCAGTGATTGGAATGAGAAATTTGGAAACAAAGAAGAAGTATCTATAGTTGGAAAAATATGGCCTTTGTGATAGAAATGATGCCAGAGATTGCACGATAGAATTTTGTAAGACTAACGACTTATTCATGGCAAATACCTTTTTTCAACAACATAAATGGCAACTATACATGTGGACCTCAATGGATGGAAAACACAGGAATCAAACTGACTACAACTGTAGAAAGCGATGATGGAAGAGGTCAATACCATCACTTAGAACAAGGCCAGGGGTCGACTGCGGAAGAGATCATCAATTGCTCATATGCAAGTTCAAGTTGAAGCTGAAGAAAATTAGAACAAGTCCATGAAGGCCAAAATATGACATTGAGTATATCCTACCTGAATTTGGAGACCATCTCAAGCATAGACTTGATCCATTGAACACTAATGACTGAAGACCAGACAAGTTGTGGGATGACATCAAGGACATCATACATGGAGAAAGCAAACAGTCATTAAAAAGACAGGAAAGAAAGAAAAGACCAAAATGGATGTCACAAGAGACTTTGAAACTTGCTCTTGAACATGAGTAGCAAAAGTAAATGGAAAAAATGATGAAGTAAAAGAGCTGAACAGAAGATTTCATAGGGCAGTTCGAGAAGACAAAGTAAAGTATTATAATGAAATGCACAAAGACCTGGAGATAGAAAACCAAAATCAAAGAACATGCTCGGTATTTCTCAAGCTGAAAGAACTGAGGAAAAAATTCAAGCCTCGAGTTACAATTTTGAAAGTTTCTATGGGGAAAATATCGAATGACGCAGCAAGCATCAAAAGAAGACAGAAGGAATACACAGAGTCACTGTACCAAAAAGAATTGGTCATCAACCATTTTAGGAGGTAGCATATGATCAAGAACCCATGATACTGAAGGAAAAAGTCCAAGCTGCACTGAAGTCTTTGGGGTAAAACAAGGCTCCAGGAATTGACGGAATACCAGTTGAGATGTTTCAACAAACAGATGCAGTGCTGGAGTCGCTCGCTCATGTATGCCAAGAAATTTGGAAGACAGCTACCTGGCCAACCAACTGGAAGAGATCTATATTTGTGCCCATTGCAAAGAACGATGATCCAACAGTATGCGGGGATTATCAAACAATATCGTTAATATCACACACAAGTAAAATTTTGCTGAAGATAATTCAAAAATGGTTGCAGCGGTACACCAACAGGGAAATTCCAGAAACTCAAGCACCAGACTCAGAAGAGGACTTGGAACAAGGGATATCATTACTAATGTCAGATGGCTCTTGGTTGAAAGCAGAGAATACCAGAAAGATGTTTACCTGTGTTTTATTGAATATGCAAAATCATTTGACTGTGTGGATCATAACAAATCATGGATAACATTGTGAAGAATGAGAATTCCAGAACACTTAATTGTGCACATGAAGAACCTGTATATAGACCAAGAGGAAGCCATTCGAACAGAACAAGCAGACACCGTGTGGTTTAAAATCAGGAAAGGTGTGCATCAGGGTTGTATCCTTTCAGTATACTTATTCAATCTGTATGCTAAGCAAATAATCTGAGAACTATATGAAGAAAAGTGCAGCGTCAAGATTGGAGGAAGACTCATTAACAACCTGTAATGCTATACAGATGACACAATCTTGCTTGCTGAAAGTGCAGGGACTTGAAGCGCTTAATGATGAAGATCAAAGACTACAGCCTTCAGTATGGATTGCACATCAACATAAAGAAAACAAAAATCTTCACAACTGTGCCAATAAGCAATGTCATGATAAATGGAGAAAATATTGAAGTTGTCAAGGATTTCACTGTACTCGCATACACAACGCCCATAGAAGCAGCAGTCAAGAAATCAAATGATGTATTGCACTGGGCAAATCTGCTGCAAAACATCCCTTTAAAGTGTTGAAAAGCAAAGATGCCACTTTGAGGATGAAGGTGTGCCTGACCATAGTATCTTCAATTGCCTCATGTGCATGTGAAAGCTGGACTATGAATAAGGAAGACTGAAGAAGAATTGATGGCTTTGAACTATGGTTTTGGTGAAGAATATTGAATATAACATGAACTGCCAGAAGAACAAATAAGTCTGTCTTGGAAAAAGTACAGCCAGAGTGCTCCGTGGAAGCTAGGATGGTGAGACTTTGTCTCACATACTTTGGACATGTTACTGGAGGGACTATCATGCTTGGTAAGGTGGAGGGTCAGCAAAAAAGAGGTAGATCCTCAGTGAGATGGATTGACACAGTAGCTGCAACAACTGGCTCAAACATGGCAATGATTGTGAAGATGGCTCAGAACTGAGCAGTGTTTTGTTCTATAGTATGTAGGGTCGCTTTAAGTCGGAACAGACTCGACAGCATCTAAAAACAACAAAAATCTTTACGGAAGCAGACTGCTATGTCTTTCTCCTGCATAGCAGCCAGTGTGCTCAAACTGCCAACTTTTCAGTTAGCAGTCAAGCACTAAACCAGGGCTCCTTATTCTTTCTCTTACTTACACTTATTTAGTTAATTATTTACGATCAATACAGACTCTTGGATTCTTATTTAATAGGTTATACTCCATTACTGATATTATTTATTTTGATGCTCAAATTGTTTCATTTTGGCCAATGGAGGCCCCCAAATCTGGTATCTGGTTTTTAAAATATTTTAAAAAATCATTGTCTATCATTAAAAAAAAAAAAAATTTTTGATTTTCTGGCTCAACCAGATGTCCCAGGTTTATTTTACAGTTTTCCTAACCCAGCCCTATAACCAGTCATTTCTCTAAGAAGCCTTGGTTTCTTTTAGTGGGAATGGTTTTATAAATCAAAATCTGGGCACTAAATGTGCTTATTATTGCTGGGGTCATTGTCTTTTAGGTCCCTTCGTAAGTTCATCATGATACCAACAATCCAAAACCACAGGGCTCTTCCTTGCCTTCTTCAATTCCATAATTGTTTCTCCCTTTTCCAACAGTGATTACCTGGCTTCCAAAAACACATTGATATACTTACTCATTTGCTCAATCTTAAGCTTATCTTTTGAAACCCTCACTTCTCTAAAACACCGTCTCTTGGTCCAGGTCCAAGACTTTCTCTATGTTTCTACATTACAACCATCTTATGTTGGTGATGTCTCTCCTCATGGGTGCAGGATGGCTGCCAAAGCTGCAAGCATTATATGCTGGTAGGACTGCATTTTTAAGCTGGAGGGAAGTAGACGGGAATCAAAGAACTTTCTCCTTGTATACCATTTTCTCTCTCTGTTTAGGGAATAGTAATCTTTTCCATAAGCCTCCAGAAGACTTCTCCTTATATATCATTGTCAAAACTGGGTTGCCTGCCTGCCCCTAGACTAATCTCTAGCAAAAGCAACTAGATTAGATCTATCAAGATTCATGCCCTAGGGTTGGGCACATTGATCATCCCAGCAAAAATCAGAATTTTGTTAGTCAAGAGAATGGGGACAGGGCTGTAGGGCCAATGAACAGTGACTACTACAGTTACATATTTATAAAAACTCAACTCCTATTTTAATGACCAATAATTACTTTATTCACATAATGACTTTCTCTGAGTCATATTCTAAATTTTATGCTGAATATCCCTCACCCCTCATGCCTTTACCATGGCAGTTTTAACAACGCAGAGAAATTGTTTTTAATAATCTCACACTAAAGTTACTTCTAATGGGAAGATAAGAATTGAGATTTCCCAAGTTGGTCCATTATACACACCAGGCTACTGTGAGAGATAATGCACCAGCTGAAAAGAAAAATCTCTCTGAAAGATATTTTTGAAATGGCACCGTCATTAATCTTAAACTGCAGTAAACATTAAGACTTTCTTCCCAGTGTAATTCGATATCTTATATTAGTTTGGGACAAATGTATGGTAGTAGGCAATAGTGATTAAAATACATTTGTTCAATTCTCCTATGGGAGTCTATCCTAGAGAATTCTAGTCACCTATAGTGGTTCAAACATATGCTAGGTCATAGTCATGCTAGGGACAGGGCTGAATGTCTCCTGCAGCCCCTGAAGAGGAGAAAACTTCTGCCTACACTCTGATCTTTCTCTCTAGCTCCTTCCTAGATGTCCACCAATTGGAGAAGAAACTATTCATCAGATTGGTCAGAGCTTGACATCCACTGGGAAGAATATCACTAAAGGGCAGGACCACTGCATTGAAAGGTGATGTGTGTTCACGGTCATATTCTCTGTTCCAGCTTTTCCACCTGGTTCTGGGTGGTAAGGGATTAGCATACATGACTCAATGAGGGGAACAGAGCAGGAAGCTTTGCTTGGGCTTCTTGGCCAGAGTTGCCTTTTCCAATATAGCTCAATGATACTTATACAAAGAAATCTAAGGAAAAACAGGACATAACAGGTTTAATGAAGATGGTGACCCTTGCTATCTCTGAAGACCTCATAGACAGAACTTCTAGGCTTCTCTAGGTCACCACCATTAACAAGACTCAGACACCATTTGTCTCAGTGCAAACTGTGAGAATCTGATTGGTTCTCCTTGGGTAAGGTGTGTCTAGCCTGATCCAATCAGTTGAGGCCAAGGCGGTAAGGTCATCTGAGCAAACAAGGTCCAAGTTTTAAGTATAGGTAGTAGGTGCAAACAGGTTCTCTTAGAAGGATGTACAAGCAATAATGCAATGACTGACAATTCTATTTTAATGTCATTAAAAAAATAGCAATTTATACCAAACTATTTCTGAGAAAATGCAATAATAAACTAACATATTAGTGAATACAGGTAAGACAAAATGACTGCAGTCTGACAATTTATTTGTGCTCTCACTGTTATTTAATTGCCAATATAATATTATCTAGGACTCAAGTTATTCTACCCTAAATATAGACATTCATGGGTCTCTCTATATTCATTACACTACCAAATAGTTTTATATTGGGTACAATGTGATCTTTTACTGTTCCACTCTTTTGTCTTCAAAGTCTGTAAAAGGAAGAAAAATGAAAAGATGTAACTGTGTTAAAAAATACATCAGTAACTTATGTTTATATTAACTTTTCTTAGCTTTCCTCTTCCTTCTGTTTACTGGATTCCTGTATTCAGTCTGACTCAATGCTGAGAGAATGCACGTGTGAGAGGGATTCTATGGGGGAAATAAGACTACAAGACCATCATTAGATAGTTTCAAATAGCAAAACTAAATTCTGGCCTCGTTCCTGGACTTGAATCCATTTCTACATAGATAGTCTCTCTTGGATCCTTTGCTTCTCACTCTGAATGTTCTATTCAGCTATATTGTCAGCTCCCTCTCTTCTCTCGGTCCAGTTTCTCCTCTACGCACCAATTCTAATTCTCTACAGTTAGCTCCACTCCAAAGCCCATCATAACTGTACATTTTCAGACAGTACAGAAGGAGCAACGGATTGTGTTCATTTTATTGGACACTTAAATAAAAGTGTGGAAGCTGGGGTGAATATTGGATTGGTCAGCCACAAAGAAATCTACATTAGCTTTGCTTTCATAAACTATAAGGTTAACTCAGTAATATACTTTGAAAATCTGGACTTGCAGATATACTTGTGTCCAATTCCTTACCTATCCATCCTGAGGGGAGGAGTAGGTTCTCCCTGCCATAACCTTGGCCATAAAAGTAGGAAGTTAGATTTCAGAAGAGTAGCCTGGGGATGTGGGTATGGGGGAGAGAGAGTCTGAAAAGAACTGTATCCCAAGGAAAGTTGATCTTCTTCTACCTAGTTCCACTTGTAGAATAAAAAAATGATTAGTTAACATTTTATCTACCACATACCATCTGTGGGTACTGGATTGTATGTCTTTTCTGGGATGCTTTGAGGAACCAGATCTAAAAAATCCACTGAAGCAAGGAGAGAATTAAAAGGATAGAGCATTTAGTGTTTAAAGCACACTGATTTTTGCAGTTATTCCCATTTTCTCCTATCTTTTTCCTTCCACTCCAAGTTTCTCTGAGTGCCTTGCTCTCCTAGGAGTTGCAAGATGCTTGACCACTCTTATATGCAGTCTTTGTCTTCCAAGAGCCCACAATTATGAGCGGAAAATCTTTGTCATGTCCAAGGCCCTGAGGGAAAATGGTACAAGCAAATGTCCAGCTCCGCGTAACATCCTTCTATCAATCTCCCTGTGAAGCCTTGATTCCCACAATAAAAATCACTGGGAAACTCCCCAATGCTTGTCAGCTCCCTTCTGTATAAACAATTCCAGGTAAAGTAGTGGTAAAAATGGAAAGACTATATAGGGATTTTTTTGGATCTACAATTTGTAAAGGCAGATTCAGAAAATATATAGGCGTCTCTATATATAAGATATACAAGCCTTCTATAAAATTTAGAAATAACTATTTCTAAGTATTCACATTATATGTGATAACAAGATAATAAGCTATTTCCCAGCTTTTCCCTCTTAAAGAGAATCCTAACTTGGCTCTCTCAGTCTCTTCCCCTCACCTACCTTATCAGGAGGGCCCTGAATTGCCACACTGCCTTTGTAATGAAGAATTGAAAAGAAAAGGGAAGGGTGAGCAGAATGAGACACAAGAGGCCAGAGCTGAAGAGTATTTTGGGAGAATCTGAGGTGAGTATGATAAGGAAGAATTTCAGTATTAAAAAAAATTGTTGACATTATTTATCCCCTCTTGAAAGTATTTATAAACTATAAGAATTTGAGTTATTTTAAAATTACATTGGTTACTGAACTATGTTCTTCTGACCACAATATCATAAGTCTGGACAATGTGAGTCATGACGATTAGCAGCACTACAGAGATTGTTTATAAATCAACCAACTTACTATCTGATAAAGCTAGATCTTTTTCTTCTTCTTGGACTAGATCAGAGTATAAGCTATATTTATGTTCTAAAACCAGAAATAAAACATGTTGGGTTTAGAATAAAACTAACAACCTATGATATGTTCTAAGTCAGTATTTTTCAAAGTTGGTTGACCATGACCCACAGCAAAAAATGCACTTTCCATTGTAGCCCAGTCCATACATATGTATAAATTAAACAAAAAAAGTTACACAAAAAATACTGACCCTTTTCTAATCTATTCTTACTTTCCCTTTTCTTATCTTTTCTACTCACCTTTTTCTTGTCTCTTCTATTCTAGTTCATTGGGGGGAAAATGTTGGTTTTCTTACCCTTTTCTTATCTTTTCTACTTATCCTTTTTGCATCAATTTCATTCTAGTTTATTGGGGGAAAAATGCTGTTCACAACCTATGCAATTGCTTTTGTGACCCACTAACTTTTTTTTTATGACCTACATAAAGGTTATTACCTACAATAGGGAAAACACTATAAGAAGTTATATTTGATTCTAATGCTCACTTGAAAAATGACCTGCAAAACAACCTGAAGTCAACCCCATTTCTCTACTTACCACCACTAAAGTTTTTTAGTCTGTATGAGATTATGACTTAGTAGGGGGTCTAGGAGTCTAAAGTTTTGATTAGCAACTTAAATCGTTCTGATGCAAATAGTCTTGGAAATACATGAGAGACACTACTCTACAATTCAGCTTCTGCTCCTCCATCCTAGAAAGTTGTCAGTCATCTTCTTCATACACACCTTATATTTTCTTCTCAGTTCTCTCACAAGGGCTTTAGTGCCCTCAGTCCTTGCCTTGAGTATTACTTAACACTGTGGGTCAGCAGAGCCCTGGTGGCACAGTGGTTAAGAGCTCAGGCTGCTAAACAAAAGGTTGGCAGTTCAAATCCACCAGCTGCTCCTTGGAAACCCTATGGGGTAGTTCTACTCTGACTCTGTCCTATAGGGTTGCTATGAGTCAGGATCGACTCAGTGGTAGCGGAGAGCAGGAGGATCAGCTGGAATAATAGTGCTACCACTCAGGTACCTACAGGTACTGTCTATCTGACTAGACCTCTTAGGAAATCAGTTCTGGATGGCACCAAGTTCTCCATGGTCTTCTGGACAGTGATTTGGGCTGCTAGATAACAGGGCCAATGATATGGAAAGGCTAGTAATCCAAGACCAACCCCACCTAGTTCATGCTTTGCCTCTCCACCCAACAGCCATACTGTTGAGGTCCTAACCAGCCATTCAGCCAACCAACATCTGGCCCCTACCTACCTTCCCAGTTTTACTCATTCCTTTTTGATACTCTGCTGTAGCCCAGCTACTGTACTTAATGTCTTCTGAATACAATCTTATACTTACCCAGTTTTGTGCTTCTGGTCATGCCTTGATCATATGAAATGCCTTCTTTGCCCATGTTGTTCCTTCTGGTGGAATACTTTTCACTCCCAACTTCTTACCCCTCTACCTGCATACCTCCTTTTTGCTAAACTACTTCCTACTCATCCTTCTAGACTAAGCTCCCATGTGTCCTCTCTTCTGGAAAGCCTTTCCTGGCATCCCATTCTATGTTAGGAGATCTCCTATGTGGTCCTATTATACCCTGGGTCTCTCTCTATCATAGCACTTACCTCCTATTAGGGTAGTTTCTTCTTTCCTTTGTTATTTCCCATACTAGGTGGCGAGCACTTTGAGGGCAAGAACCTTGTTTTATTTATCTTAGGTCCCTAGATCTAGCATAGTTCCTGAATATATAAATGCTCATTTGCTCATCTTTAGCCATTTTAAGTCCCAACTAGATTTCAGGCTGTGATTCAATTTTCTCCTTCATGATCACAAGGATCTTTGCTTTTTGTTTCTAGACTCCTTATTGTATGTTATCCTTCCTTTTGACCTGTCTTGCCCCATTTATTGAAGAAGCTGTGGTGGCACAGTGGCTAAGCGCTCAGCTCCTAACTGAAAGAATGGTGGTTGGAACCCACCAGCAACTCTGTGGGATAAAGATGTGGCAGTCCACTCCCATAAATATTACAGCCTTGGGAACACTATGGGGCAGTTCTACTCTGTCTTATAGGGTCACTATGAGTTGGAATCAACTCAACAGAACAGGTTACAGGCCGTGTTTATTGAGCTTTTCAACACGTTTGTGTGGCCGTAACTCCCTTGAGTCTCTCAGTGGCCAGTATATAGAAGCTACTCTATGAGTCTCTGGTAGTTTCCTCCAAAGATTTAAATAGATTTTGAATATGATCTTACTTTTGAAAATAGGATCAGGGTGATGAGGGATTTAAGTCCTATTTTATGGCTAATGGATGATTCTCTGGCATTTAGTGTAAACACTTGGATAAAAAAGGCATTTTTTTTTTTCAATTGAAGTGTACCAACCAATTGTAGGCTGTTGATCTTTGTGGTTGTCATCTTTGATGGGTAAGATGCTTTCATATTTTTTGGCTAAGTTAGTTCCTAAAAATCAGTGAATTGAATATTAAATTAGTTGAAAAGATTAAACAAACCTCATACATGAATCATCTCACCGATTACGTTAATAAGCAGAAATTTCCAAATTGTGAGCACATGCAGAGCTCTGGTTATTTTCAATGCACTGGTTTGGGAATCCTCAGAAGAATGTTTTGGGCAAGGACCAAAGGCACCTTTGTATACGTTGCTCCCTCTGAATGAACAGCCTTCCCATTCACTCGCACCTTGGCTAAAGCCTTCTTTCATGACTCACTTTGGAGGGCACCTCCTCCAAGAAGCCCTTCTATCTTGTAAAGTCCTTATGGGGTCCTTCCCTTTGTTCTCAGGTACCTGGCACCTCCCACTGGCCCACAGCAGTAAGCACACCAGCTCCACATGAGACTGTGACTCCTCAGGCCAGGCCCGCCTTCCTATATTCATGTCTTCCCTTCCCACCCCAGCCTCATTTCTGCCTTCCCCATTCTACAACTGACCTTACCAAAGTCACAAATGACCTCTATGTCACAGAACCAATAGAAACTTTTCAAGCTTCAATTTACTTGCTTTCCCAGCAGCATCTGTTCCAGTAGAGCAGCTACTGTTCTTGGAATACTCGCTGCCTTCAGGTCTTCTGTGACATCAGATTTTGGCTGTTTATCCTCTCTCTCTTTCTCATTACCCCTTCTCACAGTCCTCTGTCAGCAGTTCCTGCTCTACCAAACCATTTAATGCTAAATTCGTCCAGGCTCTATCTAGATAATCTCCATCATGCTCATAGCTTCACTTCTATTTGAGGCAACAATCCCAGTCTGAAAACTGTAGTCCAGATCTTTCTGAGCTCTACAAAGTATGCCTTGCTCTATCTGACATTTCTATTTTAGCTATCCCACTCGTATCTCAGAATTAAAATGTAAATACTGAACTCATAAATCCTTTTTGCTGGCACCATATCTCTTCCTCTCCCACCCAACACACACACACACACACACACACACACACACACACACACGCACACATTCACACTACATTCTTATTTCTCCCTCTCTCAAATAATGCTCTTTTTACATTTTTCCCATATCAGTAAATATTCCCAGGTGTTCAACCAGGACTGGGCGTATTTCACCTCTTTGGGCTTTAACCACTCAAGTTTTTTGCAGTTTTTCAAACAATTTGCTATAGCTTTCCTGCCTCAAGTCCTTCCTTTATATCTTCAGGCTTAGTCTCTCACAGCATAGCACCCTGTACTTCTTATTCCTAACACTCCTCATAACTACAGTCATTTATATAATGTATGATCCCTTGATGGACTATAGGTTCCAAGAAGGCCTACCTTATTCACCCCTATATTCTGGACTCCTAGCACTGGCCTATAGTTAAGTATTCAACAAATATTAATGATGGAAGGAATCTTGGACTCTCAAAAGGCCCTTCATTAATGCTTTTGCATAAATGAATTTATCTCTACATTTCTATTTCTATACATGAGATTTTCTTTAAGGCAAATGAATGAATGACAGGTGACAGCACTTCCTTATGAGTTTATGATTACAGAAAACACCAATAATAAACATAAGATTGTTGTAACTTATTGCTTTTTTAAAAAGCTATCTAAAAAAGTAAATACAGCAGAAGCAAAATTTATAAGATTGTATGTTTTTAAGATGTGATTTCTTTAGCATTCTTCTGAGATATTTTGTCTCAAAGGACAAATAGAACTTGGCAGCTTATTTTGTCAACAGTTTAGTTTAAACATAAGAAATGGATTAAAGTTTTCTATATCAAATAGTAACTCAGTTACAACAAATATTTTAATACTCTTTTAATAGACCCTCAATTTAAAAAAATTACATCTAAGGGATTACCTGACTGGTATGGTTCAAAATATAACACATCTCCAAGCGCAACAAGTTTTTCCTGTTGAAAAATTTCATAATCAGAGAATTAAATGACCACAATTACTAATTTAATCATTCTTAATAGAAAACACTTTGATTCTTGATTAAAAAAAAAAACCCAACATATTTTTAATATACCAGGAATTACATAACCAAATAAGTAGTATTCTTCTATTGATTTCTTTATTGATTCCTTATTCTGTTTAGCAGTAAGATACAAGATTGAACACACAGAAAACCAATGTATGCATTGTTGTTGTTGTTAGGTGCCATGAGTCAGTTCTGACTCACAGTGACCCTACGTACAACAGAACAAAACATTAACCTGTCCTGAGCCACCCTCAAAATCGTTGCTATCTTGAGCCCATTGTTGCAGCCACTGTGTCAATCCATCTCGTTGAGGGTCTTCCTCTCTTTTGCTGACCCTCTACTTTACCAAGCATGATGTCCTTCTCTAGGAACTCATCCCTCCTAATGTATGCATTGGCCTAGGGGAATCCGTTTAAAGCCATTATCAAAGTCATTGTCCCACTATCTATTCTGATATTACCTGAATTATATCACTTGTCATTCTGGTCATTATTTGTTCATTTATTTCAATATCTTCAAGATCTGTAAGAACCACCCAACTTCCATTCTCAAATTTCACAGGCATAGAAAAGACAAGCCCTTCAGGAATACCAAACTGGCCTGCAGTGAGCAAACAAACACAAAGTAAAGCAAAACAAAACAACTCAGAAAAATAAACCCATCCTACTAAGGAAGGTAGAAATGGTCAGACAAAATATATGAGTTTTTTTTTTTTTAATTGATAATAATAATTGACCTAAATTTCTCGGAATTCCTTGCCATAGAGGACTGAAACACTCACTCTAGAAGAACTGATGGAGCATCTATTGAGAATAAAGCTCTGAGAGTCTCTTCTTCACTAGCTATCTCTATCAAAGGTACCACTCTTCACTAGATGCTCAAGCCAGAAAACTTGGAGTTGGGCTACCTCCCTTCTCTAATTACTCCCATACCTAATTACTCCCATACGTAATTACTCACCCAGACCTGACAATTCTCTCTCCTGCAGTTCTCACAAAACTGTTTCCTCTTCTTCATTCTTCTGGCCCCTGCCTGATTCAGATCCTCAGCATCTGCCCTGGGGATTACTGCAGTCTTTCACCTTCCCACCTTGTCTAGATTCCTTTTGTCTGTTTCCCATGGCTTTCCTTTGACCCTTGATGTAGCCCCATGAGCTCAAGTCATTTGCCCACTCTGGCCTTCTATGCATCTAGTCTACGCTGACAGTCACGTAGGGAGAGTGTGAAGGACTGGGAAGGGAAAGAAAGGAGGCGGGAAAGCTAGTTATTTCCTTGGAGCTCTTAGTTCCCCACTTGGATGTGCTCTAAATAAAAAGACCAATAATATTTGTTACTAACTGATGAACATTCAGATAAAATTTCCCCTTTTTGTGCATCAGTAAAATAAGAAAATTATTCCTGACATTCTAGCCATCTCAAATATTGGCACTAGGGCCATAAAAAAAATTGTGATATTTATGAAACCAAGATCTAAACGACTTTTACTTAGAGATTTTTCCCAAGCCCTCTATTCAATCTCTATTAATTTTCTCTGTGAACAGCTAGCCTTATGGGCAGACAATGTAAGAATGTTTACTTACAGGGTATGGTTTCAGGGAGGAAGAAAATGATCACTTGCCCCACCTTCCCATATTGCATTGTTTATTGATGAATGATATTTCTACACAGATGAATTAATTTTTCTTTCTACAAATAAAGATAAGGTTTGAAATTCCTATTTCCCCAAAATGGTAACATACTAATTTGAATTCACATTATGGGGATGCTCATGTACCTTAACTTCAATTGAACAAGATTGTACACCTTCCATGTACAATGCTGCTTGAGTGAAGGATCAGACAAATGACCCAGATGAGGTCCCTATTCTCAGAATGTACACACTCTAGTGGAGGGGACGTATGCAACTAACCACACTGTCAATGAAAGGCAGACTATAATATGCGCTCTGATGGAGGAACAACGTGCTAAGTAAAGAGATGAGACAGACTAATTCTGACTTGGGGGAATTGGGAGGATTTCCCTGAGCTTCACTGTGCAACAACTGGCAGGATGGTTGTTCTATTAAAAACATAAGGAATACAAGACATAGAATTAGATGGGGAGGAAGACAACACACTCCCTTTGGTGTATGTTGAGTTTGAAGTGGCAGCATGACATCCAGGCGGCAGTGCTTCACAGACTAGAGCTCAGCAGAGGGGCCCAGGCCTGTAGCTTTGGGAGTGAACGAGTTTACTCAGGGGGCGAGTATAAACCCAAAGGGAAGAGATGCTTTAGACAGAGCCTACTGAGGGTAAAACAGCTATTCTCTCCTTTCTGTTTTTTCAAAAATGATAGATGTTCCCTGAATAGTTTTCTGCAGACTAAAACATTCAAGCTGTATGTCTTAGTCATCTAGTGCCGCTGTAACAGAAATATCACAAGTGGATGGCTTTAACAAAGAGAAATTTATTCTCTCACAGTCTAGGAAGCTAGAAGTCCAAATTCAGGGTGCCAGCTCCAGGTGAAGGCTTTCTCTCTGTCTGTTGGCTCTGGGGGAAGGTCCTTGTCTTCAATCTTCCCCGGTTGAGGGGCTTCTCAGTGCAGCAACCCTGGGTCCAAAGGCTGCGCTATTCTCTTGGCTCGTATTTCTTGGTGGTATGAGGTCCCCTAGTCTCTCTGCTCACTTCTCTCTTTTATGTCTCAAAAGAGACTGACTTAAGACACAACCTAATTTTGTAGATTGAGTCCTGACTCACTTACATAACTGCCTCTAATCCTGCCTCATTAACATCATAGAGATAGGATTTACAACACATAGGAAAATCACATCAGATGACAATATGGTGGACAATCACACAATACTGGGAATCATGGCCTAGCCAAGTTGACACACATTTTGGGGGGACACAATTCAATCCATGACACTGTACAAATTTATATACAGTATTTATCGACAGAGAGCAAGCTTTCTACATTCCTGCTGCTGCGTGGTACCCTAAGATTGGGGTCCTGAAGTGCCCCTTCATAGCCTGTCCTTGTATCTTTGCTCCTACAGCTCCTTGTGTCCAGATATTCTTCCGAAACTTGTCTGCCAGGTAAGCACTACTCATTTCAGGGCTCCTTGGAGTGTCATTTCCTTTCTGAAGCCTGTCCTGACTCTTCTTGTTCCTGGCCTAGAATTGACCTTGCTTTGGCTGGATACCAGGCGGGGGGCGAGAGGGGCTTAACAGGATTATTTTGTTTATATATCTGGCTCTGTTTACTTCACTGTGCATTTTCCGAAGGCAGAGACCAGGTCTAATTCCTATGTGTGTTCCCAGTGCATTCCCATAATATCTGATGACTTTTGGAACGAATAAATGAATGAATGATTATAGAGTTGTCAAAGTCCAGACAGCTTATAGATGTTAAGAGCTAGACAGGTGGAGACATAGAAATAGGAATATAAGGCATACATGGAGGTTTTTAAATAATAAATAATAAATAAGATATGAAAAACACCAATTTACCTTCACTCAGTACTCCTAAAGACACAATCTCCCCAGGTGGTGAGCCATGGTACCAGTATTTCAAGGTAGTGGCTATACTGTGTGCAGACAAAATGCCTCCAAATTGTTTTCCTGTGGCTGATAAGTTTTTCAGAGTTGTCACAAATTCTTTGTTTAACCACTCACTGTAGAAGAGAAAGAACCAATTTTATGATGCAGAGAAAAATGAAAATGGAAAAGGATATCTTTCAGGTAAATGAAGCTGAGTACAAGGAATCACATCCACAATCAGAATAGAAACATGACTCTCTGTGCCTTTTCTTCTAGCTTCTTCAATCCCATAAAAGGTTGATTGATAAATTATAAAATATAGCAGAAGTAGTTCCAAAATTTCAAACTAAAAACACGGTAACATAACTGTGGAACACAGGAAAGTGGTCAAAGGCTGAAGGAACAATTACTTTCATTACAAAGAATTTAGTCCATGTATATTATCTTGAGGGGGTGGGAGTCCCAGGCTGGCACAAACGGTTAAGCGCTTGACTACTATCCAAAAGGTTGGTAGTTTGAATCTACCCAGAGGTACCTTGGAAGACAGGCCTGGAGATCTGCTTCTGAAACCTTGCAGCCCTGAAAGCCCTATAGAACAGTGCGACTCTGCACATGCGGGGCTGCCATGAGTCGGAATCCACTCAACAGCAACGAACAACAACATGTTATCTTGGAACCAGAAGTATCCTTCCATTTTAATAAATTAATTTCATAAAAGTCCTGGTGGCAAGGTGGTAAGAGTTCAGCTGCTAACCAAAAGGTTGACAGTTTGAATCTACCAGCTGCTCCTTGGAAGCCCTATGGGGCAGTTCTACTCTGTCCTACAGGGTTGCTATGAGTCAGAATCCACTCAATGGCAACAATTTTGGTTTTCGTTTGGTTTTAATTTCATAAAACACTGAATTATTCACACTGAGAATTAGGGAAATAATTATGTTCTCATAATCTGAAATCGAAACTAAGGGAACAGTGCAGCTGGATTAGAGCAAGCAATAAAGGGTACCTCTGCTGACCCAGTGTGAGAAAGCTCCATTCAACACTCCCCTACCCAGGCAGCAGAGACAGAGGAACAAGCTCCAGGAGTGGGATCCTGGGCACAGAATTCCTAGGCATGGACAAAATTCCTATGATCTGAGGATAGGTAACCACCCAAAGGCAATGGAATGGAAATGCTACAACTGGGAAAGTCCTGTAAAGTTTAGAAATACACTCAAAGGCACTCTTTCCCTTTTCTCCTTCTCCGCGGCATCATAATGCTAGTGTCTACTGCGGCAGGCACAGCTCTAAGTGCTTTATATGCATTACTCCATTTAACCTTCCCAAGACTCTACAAGGCCCAAACTATGTTATCGTTTTCACTTTGCAGATGAAAAAACTGAGGCATAGAGAGGTTAAGTAACTTCTCTAAAGTCACACAGCCAATAAGTGGCTAAATGAGAATTCAAACCCAGGTGGTTTGGCCCTGGAGATTGCGTTCCTCACTACTTTCATTCTACCTATGATAGGACATAACATTTAGTATGGCCTGGGCCTGCTCACCAGCTTAGTTCCTTGTCAAACATTTTTCAACTAATTTAAACTTGGATACATGCTTTTGTCTTTATGCTAAATAAGATTCACTTTATATATACCCACTTTAGAGATAATTTTAATGTAATATGTGAGTTACTTTAAGGATAATCTGAAATACGAAAGTACACAATTTAAAAATCAAATAAATGGGGGTGGAGATTGACTAGTTGAAATTCTATGGAATTTTCCATGCCTTCAGTAAATAGCACAAGCAAAAATGAGTATGAATATTGCAAGTTATTTTTGCACAAATATTTATAAAATTATTTTAAAGGTTATAACAACTATTACACATGTATTTAACATTGTTAGTATACTTCACTTAAAAACATACTGTACCTATCAAAAATCAAGTTTAAAACAGGGCGTGAATAGTGAGGGGGTCCCCAAACGGCACTCTCATATCTGTAGACCTTGGCTTTCCTCAGATCGACATAGTTATTTCCACTAATATTACCCCAAATTATCACATCTTTGATGCCTGTAAAGAAAAATAATAAAAAAAAAAACATGATGTAAACATTAATATAAAAAAATTGCCTGACACCTTTTTTTTGGTTGTTTTAAGATTGATTCTTCTGCTATAAAAGGAATCTAAGTTTATGTTCCCTAAAAATGTGCAAGTGATATGGATCAGCCCCATAATCATCAGGGTTTGGCAATGGCTACGAGTACATGATTGAATTCAAAGAGTAATGGAAGGTCCCCTGAAATAAATGCTACTGAAAACTATATCACTGGTGTTGGTCCTGAACTTATTACTCTGCCAGAGAGAAAGAGAGAGTGGGATGTGCTTTTTATCTGCTTTGGTCTGACAAGGAGTCCCTGATTCTAAACCAGGATAGAAATTGGGGCAACTTAACTCTGGGCGGGTTTCATCTCCTGAAAAATGAAGGTGTTGTAATAAGCGGACTCTAAGGAACACCCTTGTGAACAAATAGTTATTGAGTATCTTGTAGATGTGAGGTGCTTCTAGGTGCTAGGCTTAGGCTAAAACAAATCAGCCTAAATCTTTCAACATTCTGGGGATGGAGGGGAGTGGGTGAGCGAACAATTACTATACAAAGTGATACACGCTATGAAGAAAAATAAGATAGAAATAGAGGTTTCTATTTAACATAACTCTGTAATTAATAAGTTTCTATAAATGTTGAATCCAAAGTGCAAATAAGTAATTTATCCATCTATCCATTCATTCATTCACTTATTTATATATTTGCTTAAAAACTTAATTGTCTTTTAAGGCCACACCACTTCCTATTGTGGAAATTAAATTCTTTATCCTAATTAAACTATTTATACTAATTTGGCTTAACAAGGAAGAGTTTACTTTCTCATATATCAATGTCTAGACGTAGATAGTGACACCGGTGCTGATCGATCAGCTCAAAGATGTAATTCTCCTGGCATTGCCCTCATGCTCCTAAAATGGCTGCAGCAGCTCCAAATATCACACACTCACACAGTTGTGTTTAGAGGCAGGCAGTAGGTAGAAGAATGGGGCAGAGGCTTCCCCCTTTGCTTTTTCTCTTTTCAGGGAGTGAAATATCTTTCTCAGGAGATTCAAGGTAGCCTACATTACTCAGCTACCCTCAGCTGAAAGAGAAACTGAAAAAAATGAGTGACTTTTTGAGTCTCTATGTGGGAGAGACAGCTAAGGGGAGAAGAGAGTGAGTTGTGGATTTGGGGTAGTCGACATCAGAGTTTAGCATATTCATCTGAGATTCTCTCCCTCATCAAAATGACTAATGAAGCAGGAATATCTAGTATTTCCTCTACCACCCAACTCCCACGAGAGCTAGTGATGTGCACTTGGGCCCCTCCAGGAGGAAAGGGAGGGTGGTAGTCTGGTTTGGAACTCGTAGGATCCCACAGAGAGAAAAGAATTCTCCAGCTCCAAGTAAGCATACGGTAGGCTCCCTTGCCTTTTAATCTTACTGGGTCTTATTTCTCTTACCAGTTTTGAGGCCCTTTCTTTATAGCTCTAAATGCCTTAAATTATGCTATAAAAATATAGTGGACATCTGCTGTTTTTTTCCACCCAGCATTTCTTCTCCCTTTCCTTTTCTTTAACAGCATCCTGTGTTTTTTGTTTGTTTGTTTGTTTTATTTTTAAATAACTACCCCTTCCTTACTTTTAGTTCGTATGGTTTGGGTGGGGCTGTCTTCAGCCATTAGGTCCATCAGTAGGGATGTGGCCCAGGTCTGGTCCATCAACAGATTCCCCACTCCTGCCCACAATGATTGATTTGGGGTTGGGCATATGGTTCAAACCAGGCCAATGAGATATTATCCTCTGCGGATTTGCACAAACCATTGGGAAATACAGCCCCGTTTCTTCTGGGGTAGCTAAGCTGTGAGTATATGGGCCTGTGGCTACCAGTAGCCATTTTACCATTTGTTGGAGAGAGCCTGCCTGGGAATAAAACTGGCACAAAGGAAAATAGAGCTGAGTGATGGACCAAGAGAGAGTGTGAGGAGTTCTGATGTCATCATTTGAGCCCCAGCTTCCAGCTATGCCTGAAATAAGAACGAAACACAGTATTTTTCAGTTCTGTAAAAAAAAAAAGAAATCCTTCTTTTTCTTTCTGACTTCAGACCACTTAAGTTGACTTTCTGTCACTCGCAACAGAAAGAGTCCCAACTAATCCAATATACATGGTCTGAGACACAGGGGAGATCCTGGACCTTGTTCTTTGGAAAAGGTTTGATACTGTTATGGACTGAATTGTATCCCCCCAAAATATATGCTGAAGTTCTAATCCCTCCACCTGTGAATGTGACCTTGTTTGAGGAAATAGGGTTTTTCTTTGCAGATGTTATCAGCAAAGTCATGAGGTCATACCATAGTAGGATGGGTATTAATCCTAATCTGTTTTGAGTGGCAGTTTATAAAAGAGAAGGACAGACACAGAAACAGGGTCCTACACACAGGGTGAAGACAGCATGTGAGGATGTGTCTACAAGCCAAGGAATGCCAAGGAATGCTTGGGGCTACCAGAAACTGAAAGAGACGAGGAAGGCTCTTCTCCTAGATACCCTTGTGAGAAAATAAATTTCTGTTTTTAAAGCTACCCACTTGGTGGTATGTGTGTTACAGCAACACCAGGAAACTAAAATACATGCCATTATGCTTGACTGCCCTTGTTGTTACTGGATTTCTCCTTGCTGCTCCACTGACAATTCTGTCCCTCTAATACCTCATTTTCCTTTACTCAACTTTCTTCCATTTTTCTTTCTTCTTATCTTTGCTTCTTAAATGCTTATTGGCTTTAAGTAGAGCAGGGCTTAGATTTTATTGCACTAGCAGACCCTCAATGGGGCAGCTTTCTAGTCGAAAGCCCTCTGCTACTCATCACACCTTGTTTTAAATTTTGTATCACTGCCTCTTCTTGACACTTTTCACTAGTGTGCCCTGGACCTTTTGTGGTAAATGAGTGTCTACACATATAAATATAAGGTTGACAAAAGAGATATGATGATTAGAAAATGTTTTCATTTCCTACTGAATAACGTTAGCATCCACATAGCTTGGTTTTGCGCTGATTCTGGTGGTAAGACACTAACAATTTATATACAAGAACTCAAGAGATGATGATTTCTAGGCTTTCAATGTAAAAAATGGATAATACAGCTCTGGTTATACTGTGCTAGGGGCTCAATGAGTTCCATTATTGCCCTGATTTAGAGCACTACAGGCTCATGTTTCAGTGTCTTCCTAATTTTGCTTGAGGAAATGCCTTGCACCTCCTTGCATTCTCAATGGACGGTGCTATATCGGCTCCATCTAAGGGCATACATTGCTAAAATACGTCAGCTGGGATCTCCCCTTTTCGATACAATAATCCATTTTCTGATCCAGTCTCATCCTCATAATTCTAATGTCTACCAGTTCAAAGATTAATAGGCGCAGAAACTGATCTGATATCATAATCCAATTGGTATGTCTAATAACCTTTCAAATGTTTACTATGTGCTGGGCACTCTTCTAAGCACTTTAGAAATATGATCTCACTGAATCCTCACATCAGCTCTAGGAGGTAGTTGCAATTAGTATCCTCATTTTATGGATGAGGAAGCTGAGGTATAGCAAAGTTATGTAATTATTCAGGGTCACACAGGAGGGAAGTGGAGTGGAGCCACTTTAACACAGCCCTGATTTTTTTTTTAAATAACACTGCTACCTTAGTAGACTGTTATGGAAAAAGTGGAATATTAGGTTTCAAAATGATTACTTGAATAATATTGATCTTATTATATTATTTTGTTTATTAATTTTTACAATCATGGACACATTCATTAAGTCATAAAATCCAGTGGAAAAAAATGTTTGCACAGCAGTTAAAAATCACACAATTTAAAGTTTTATTGTGTCTGGTTCATCCTTCCGGATACCCACAATGAGCCCAGAGGATAGAGTGTTCTTCCTAGCTGCTCTGAAACCATGTTGTTTAAAACTAAAACTCCAGAAGTTCACTCACCTGCCGAAGTGGTTTTCAATTTTCTGGCCAGCACAGCTTTAGCTTGCCCTTCTACCCCCAATGCCACAGCGATAATGTTGTGTGCGACACTTGGGGCGTATCTCATAAGCAAGGCTGTTTTAAGATTCACAAAGGTTTTTCCTCCCACAATAACTCTGACGGATTCATGGGCATTTTTCTCAATCAGGTATCCATAGAGCCTGCACAGAGGAACCCTGCTCCGGATGCCTTCTTCTAGGCTGAGCACCTCCTTGTCAGTGCTGTCATCCAGGATGATGATCACGTGGGCCTGGTGGAAGGCCTCCTCCACTCGAGTGCAGATCCTGACGCTCCGGAGGACGGGCGCTACCAGGTCCTGGCTCTCCAACAGTACGGATGTGAGTTTGTTTCCGGGCTTGTTGTCAAATAAAGTTATGCTAATTTCCGTATGCATCCCAAACACCTCACCACTTGTCAATAAAGGAATCAGGTTGTAGCTGGCAGGAGTTGATGCACTGATAAAAATGCAAACCTGGATCATGAATATGATTAAATCCTTTACCCCTGTAAACCTTTGTTCTTAATAGACAGTTTGCATGTGCATTGATTAGGTGAATGTTTTAAATAGGCATACACAGGTGCAGAGACAGTGTTAAGTCTAGAAATAAAAAGTAGAACAAAAAAAATTCTCACTAACCCCTTGCTCTGGTCATCTGAAAATAATCCCCGAATAAGAAATGCATCTGTTTATTCAGTGTTTCAAATAAAACAGAATTTCCCATAGGCAGAAAGCAAAATTCTAAAGAACTGTCATTTTACTCTAATTACATATTAACATGTCCTCTTAAAAAGGTAAAGAAATAAGGGGATTCACTTAACCATAGTGCTTTTTTGTTTTGTACCCTTATCTACAAAATAAAGACCTTTTTTTGGGAACAAGTTATCTTTTCCAAATCATTACCCCCAAAATAATAATACCCTTACAAAGATGCCCATTGATCAAGATGCCTATGGAAAAACGCAGGCTGTGTATGGTTCATCCGTAACCACAACTCAGCATGTATCTGGATATTCTGTAGCTGTGGTCATCAACTGAGAGCTGTATGACTCCCTGCAGGGAGTTTGGAAAGGCATCAGAGCATTTTTGGTTTTCACAATGGGGTTGGGGCATGGTCCAATGGGAGGCTTCAATCGTATCTCTACTATTTTAATTCTTTAAAAAAAAAACTAAAGCTCATGTAATATTTATTAAATCTGAGTGATTTTTTCATGGATGCTTATTACATCATTCTCAATTCTGTATTTGGAATGTTTCATAACAAATACTTTTTAAAATGAGTATGTATCCAATGATATACACACATGTAACAAGAAGGGCAGTATGAGAGACAGATTGAGGGTAGGGGAAAGAAAGATTGGTGGAGGAGAGAGCAAGACAGACAGCAAGCGAGTGCAGAGGAAGGAGAGAAAAAGTGACAACTGAATGTGTCCAAGACTGAGAGCATTTGGGAGCAAAGAGAGAAGGAGAAAAAGTTAGGAGGAGCCAGAATGACGGGGAGTTACAGAGATCGAGTGCACAAGAGCCAAGGAAAGCTCTAGCAAGTGGGAAAGAGGTAGAAAGCATCAGTCAGTGAGGAGCAGGGAAAGGGAAGGACAGAGCAATGGGGCAAGGCAAAACTTGACGTTCAGGTATTCTTCCATCATAGAATTAATCCCACTTCACTGTGCTTTTTAAATATAAAAAGCCAATCTCATGAATCCAGGACCTTGGCCATCCCACCTGGTGATCCAGACCTGCAGGGGGCTGATGAGTCCTTTGAGGGATTCTTCCTCAAGCTCTTTTTCTATATGTGTCCCCAGGTTTTCTTTAGCAACTATCAGCATCAGCTCACTTGTCATGCTAGAGGTGACACCATAGTAAAGCTAAATATTAGGAAAGAAAAAGCCAATATGAGAGATAATGAGTTACTCACAATGGCTATACTAGAAAGTTTTTATTTAGAAGTCAAAATAGAATAAAAAGAGAACTGAGAGAATACTTTGAAAAGCGAGACATTTGGAAAATAAAATAATGTGGGACAGCAATAATATTTTGAACAGATAAAACAATTTATATTACCTGGGCATGCTCCAGGAACTCATTATAGCCTCCCAGAAGAATACCCTTTCCGCCGCGATCCAACAGCTCTCTCCAGATGATGGGAGAAGTTTTGTGACTCCACTTATTCTTTTCACACACATCTTTCAGCCACTCCTTTTGAATGATATTCCAAGGAAGACATATAGTAAATCTGCCTCAACTTTAGAATTCAGGCAGTAAAATACAGGTTTGTTTTTTACTTGCACTATGTTTATCCACTGCTGTCCAGTCAATTCTGACTCATAGTGACCCTATAAGATAGAGTAGAACTGCCCCATAGAGTTTCCAAGGAGCGCCTGGTGAATTCCAACTGCTGACCTTTTGGTTAACAGCCATAACTCTTAACTCTATGCTGCCAGGGTTTCCACTATGTTTACATAATAAAATTTAGTTATCTTCAAAAAGTAAAATTTAAAAATAAAAATAATGATGAATTAATCAAATAATAAAGAATATTCTTTATATTCATTGGCCAAATCAAGGTACTGAAAGTTGCTCTCTTTGCTAAGGAGAGCTAGAGTACAAGTGTTCAGCTGAAAGAGAGGCTAAGTGTTTTAGTCTGACTGATTTCAAAAAGTAATTTTTCCTTCATTCTTGTATATGAGATATTTTCAGTCTTAGAGTCATAAAAATTTTGATATTGCTTTCTATATCCTTGGGTTAGGTTTATATAGTTCAGACTGAATTAATGACTAAAAGTTATGTGGGGCTTTATGATAATAGTTGTCGGAAAAAGTTTAAATTACCATTATCTAGTTTGTACAGACCACCAACATGAGCTCCTGTGTAATGTCACTTTGTACCAACGGACCCACAGAAACAGAGGTACACCAGTGGGCACATAACTATGGGATCCACTGGCTCTATCATATATTGCACCAGCCAGGGGCTGTCAGTCTGACTGAGGAATGGACAATTTAGTCAAGGTGCACCTGAGGCACCAGCTCAAAGACTGACAAGTTGGGCACCATTTTTCAGGATGTAATATACACCATAAATCAACACTGTGCTTTGTGTCAATAGGTAGAATACATGGATCTAGGAACCAAGGGGTAGAATTAAGAGTGACCCTGCTTACTACCACTCCCAGCAACCAATTTGGAGAATCTGAACTTCCAAATCCAGAACTCAAAATTCTGTGGGTCTGGAGATCCTAATCCCCAGAGGTGGAATGTTTCTACCAGGGGACACAAGATGAGTCCTGTTAAGCTGTAGGCTCTGGCTGTCACTTAGTCACTTTAAGCGCCTGTGCAAGGAAAGGAGTCACCATCCTGGCAGCGATAATTGGCCCTGATGATCAGAAGCATATAGGGTGCTATTACCCAATGCAGGCAGGGAAGAATATTTGGCATCCAGGTGATCCATTGGGTGTCTCTTGCCCAATTTAGACAGTAAATGGACAAGTGCAGCAGTCAAATCATGAAAAGGGATTGGAGAGTAGGGATCAGACCCCTTAAAGATGCAGGTCTTGGTTACCAAGACTAATAAGTCACCTAGACCAGCAGAGAGTGAGGGGAATCTAGAAGACATAGAAAAGAAGAAAGGTGATGAATGTCAGTGTAGCCTTGAAACTATCTGCAGAGGAGACTGTAGTTCATTCAACTAATCTTCCTTTTGTAAAATTTCCCAAGAAAAAATGCAACCAGAATTATGGAGATGCTGTTCTCAGATGATGCGAACTTATTCTATAGAGCTTGTAGATCCAAAAGGTCCAATGGGTAGACTATAGTAGGTGCTGTCATGCATGGTCCAGATTCCTCCTGCATAACTGAGGCACTCATTCCCTCAGCTACAAGATGTATTGTCTGCCCATGGCTCCATGTTGAGTCCCTCTCAGGAACTGATTTCAGCCAGAGGGACTTCCCTCACCCAAGGTTAAGTCCCTTCTCCAGAGGTAGCCTGTATCCATGACTGGTTGATATGGACCAGTCCCCTTGCCTCAATTTGGGGCATCTCTGAAGGGTCATCCCAACTCCAGAGCTCCCTATGGGATCCACTGAGGCCTCTGGTCAACTTCTCCCCCCATCCAATCTTTCTTCCTTCACTCCTTCCCCAGATGTGTCCCCAAGAGCACTCCCCAGTAAAGTTCCTTCACCCAAATCTCTCTCTCAGAGTCTGTTTCTGGGGAAACACAGTCCCAAAGAAGGGAGTTGCAAATAAACAAGTCCCTCATGTCATAAGAAATTAATATGAAGAAGAATGGATTAAATAAATACAATGCAAGTTATTTGGATGGGGGGGTGGGGACAACCATATAAATAATGTTTTGAAACTGGTAAGTAAGAACTTACTTTTTTAGTATTCAAATATCAATACTACATGAACATTCATTACTGGAAGCCAATCTAAAACATGTAGATAACCAAACACCAAACCTGTTGCTATTGAGTCGATTCTGAATCATAATGACCCAACAGGACAGAGCAGAAGTGCCCCATAAGGTTTCCAAGGAGAAGCTGGTGGATTCAAACTGAGAACCTTTTGGTTACCAGCTGAGCTCTTAACCACTGTGCCACCAGAGCTCCTCTGAAACATGTATCAGCTAATAATTCATTAAATTAGAACACGTGTGTGTGCATGCATGTAACAAACTCTACAAGCTTCTTACCTCCCAAATGTCAGGATGTTGTGTAATTTTATGTATCCTAAAATTAGGAAGATTCTTCTGCAAATAGTCTGCCAGAAGTTCCGCTTTAGCGTAATATGGACAATCTGCTCTACCTAAAAGAGTTCAAATTAACAATGTTTCCTTCCGTCACACAGAAATTATCATGAAGTTATAAGCTGCCATGCAGTTACAGAAACAATCATGCTGTTATGATATAATTTTCTAACATACAGTTATAGCATAATCATGCAGCCACATAAACGTTTCATTTTTATTACACTGATAAATTTCATATGTGGTCAGAATCTCAGCTAATAAAATGTAGACGGGGAATAAAAAAGAATATTTACTCTCTTCCAGTACTAGGCTAGACCTCACTTCTTCTAAGAGGCTGCCAACTACTACTAATTAAACATGAACAATTAACTATAAACTACTCATTAGGAGCCACCAAAAGGTAAAGTGACAAGTAAAGATCAAACCAAACACCAAACCCATTGTCATCGAGTCGATTCCAACTCATAGTGACCCTATAGGACAGAACAGAACTGCCCCACAGGGTTTCCAAGGTTGTAAATCTTTATGGAAGCAGATTGCCACATCTTTTTCCCACGGAGTGACTGGTGGGCTCAAATTGCCTACGTTTCGGTTGGCAGCTGAGCACTTTAATCACTGCACTACCAGGGCTCCTTTGACAAGTAAAGAGTGGTGGTAAAATCACATTTGCATTTCATATGTGTGCGGACAGCTTTGGGGGTGAGAAGTGGGGAGAGAGAGGAATCTGGGGTAACTCCTATTTTCTGACTTGGGTAGATGGTCTTGCTCTTACCAGAAAGAAATCATGAGTGAGAAATTTTAGACAAGTGCAGTTGGAGGTATCTGTAGCATATCTAAGTGGATATGACCAGCAGGTAGAGGGTTATATAAGACTGAAATGCAGGGCCACGTAAGGGCATAGGACACAGATTTTGCAGCTATCGATACACAGGAAGTTAAAGCCACCACAGTGGATGGAATTGGGCATCTATAGAGTAGGAGAGGCAGGGGCCAAGAGCAGAACCCACTCTGCAGCATATTTCCTCAGTTACTCCCAATCACCAATTCTTTAGCCTCTTGAAGACTTCTAAACCATCAAGCCCTCTCAACCTCTGCCTGTCCCTCAGCCCTCTCCGTCTAGTTCAAATCCATGGTTCATCACTTCAAACCACTCTTCTGCTTGTTTCTTAAATCATCTATCACCAATATAATCAGCCCAATAAAACTCCCTCACCCTGAATCCGATAATTGGACTTTACTGTGCCTGGATCCCAGTTGGTAGGCACCACTGGAGAAACATGGTAGTACCAAGCAGAGAGGCACCACTATAAACTCATGGTCACCAGCCGCAACTGGCCCTCAACTCTTTTTTCATCTTCAGTGGAAGAGGGGTCCTACCTCCTGTGTAGGTCTAATCCCACCACTTACGCTCTGAATCCCACCCTCTCATGTTTTTCCAGGAACTTTGCTCAATTGATTATCCCCCTGTCTAGAATTTTATCTCTATCTCCAATGGCCCCTTTCCATCATATTTAAACATACTCAAGTAATACTTAAGTTTCTCCCATCCTAAAAAACAAACAAACAAAAAAAATGTTCTCCTCTAGCTACTATCTTTCATCCTCCCTTTTCTGGACAAAATTCACGAAAAAGTTCCCTAGACTTGTTATCCTCAGTTCTTTACTTCCACTTATTTCTTATCCCACTGAAATCTGGCTTCTTGCAAAATTCTCTAGAAAGCCCAAGGATCTCCTTGTCACTAAATCCAACGGATACATTTTGATCTTTTTCTTGTTGACCCTTGGCAGTATTTGCCACTGTTGCCCCCTCCAACCTCTTGAAACACACTCTGTGGTGGAGCATTCTCCAGGTTCTCTTCCTACCTCTCTGGCCACTTCTCATTATGCTTGGTAGTTTTCCTATTCCTGTATCCATCCATTAAAAGATTAGTTTCCACAAGGCATCTTATCTTCACTCCTTACACATTCTTTCTGGCCAACTCCTCTACTCCCTTGGTTTCAAGTATCAATCTATATTTTCAGCTCAAACCTGCCTCCTTATGTAGATTCTTACACCCTCCAATATTTTCCATTTCCTTCTAAATGTTTTAGGAGTCCCTGGGTAGTGCAAACAGTTAACGTGCTCAGCTGCTAACCAAAAGGTTGGAGGTTCGAGTTTACCCAAAGGTGCCTCGGAAGAAAGGCCTGCAATCTACTTCCAAAAAGTCAGCCATTGAAAACCCTATGGAACACAGTTCTGCTGACACACACGGGGTTGCCATGAGTTGGAGTCGACTCGACGGTAAGTGGTTCTAAATGACTCATAGGTACTCAGCATGTCTGTGATGGATTTTGCCAGCACTCTCCCACCAAATCTGCTTCTTCTCCTCCATTCTGTATGCCTATGGATGACACCACTACCTACCCAGTTACCCAGACCACCATTTGGGAATAATCTTTAACTCCTTCTTCTTCCTTACATGCCATCCTCCACCCAACTGGACATCTAGTCTTATTCTGCCTCCCTAACATCTCTCTAATCCACCCACTTCTTTCCCTTTCTATTGTCTGTCACCCTAGGTCAGGCCACCATTAGCTCCTTCCTGTACTATACCAACAATCTCCTTACTGGTTTCTTTGCATCCAATCATTCTCTCTCATGCCGTAGCCATAACACTCTGATAAAATGCAAATTTGACTATGTTCTCTCCTTCCAAAAGTCTTCCACATACTTTGGATAAAGTCTAAACTATTGAACAACACTTACAAGAATTTACAATTATTTAACTATGGTCTTAGCTGTGACACTTTTTTCCTTGTATTCTTTGCTCCAGTCCTGCTACATTTATATCAATTTCCTGCTTATTCTGTACTCTCAATAATCACTAAACTAACTCTCCTCACTCACTACAACCCTACTGTCTGCCACCATGCCTAAACTGTTCTCATTCTCCCCAACTTCTCCTTCTCATATTTCAGGTCTCTGCTTAAAAATTACTCCCTCTGGGAAACCCTTAACTGACTAAATAAGGTCCTCTACCACCGTGCCCATAGAGCTCTGTCCTACTGTAATGCACACAACATTATTTGTAAGTTTGTTTACCACTGAATTCCAAGCACACAGTCAGTAAGCGCTCAACAAATATTCTTCTGAATGCATAATGAAGTAAACCACAAGAAATAAAATTTCAGGCAGGTGGGAGATGTAAATTGTGCTCAATGCATCAAATAAGATAAGGACTAAAGAGCTGCTGTAGAAGTCATTGATGGCTTTGTTGAGGTCAATTTCTATACGGAGGCAGCAGTAGAAGCCAGACTGAAGTGGAAGAAGGAAGTGAAGACAGGAGAACAGTCTACTCTTTTAAGAAACTTGCTGAGAAGGGAAGGAAGTAGGTACAATAGCCTGTTGTAGAAACAGCCTCCTCACTAATTTCCTGGATGCTAGTCCACAGTTACAATCCATCCTCTCCATTGCTGCCAAAGCGGGCTTCCTAAAATGCAAACCCATTAAGGCTACTCTTCAGCTTAAAAATTTCAATGACTCCTCATTGCTTTCAAAATACAGGTCACACTTCACTGCTTGGTGCACCGTGAGGTGCAGGGATCTGCCTCCTGCTTCTCTTCTAGCCCAGGTCCTGTCACTTCCCCCATATCCAGATCATCCATCAGGCCATGGCGTTCTAGCCTGTGTCACTGTCTGGAATGCCCTCCCCAATCCCAGACCTTCACGACTAAGCTCCTGAAACACCTTTTCCAGTGAGCATTCCTGTGTCCACCCTCTACACTCACACCCAGTTTAGGGGTCTCTCACCTATGCTCCGAGGAGCTCTGGTGGCGCAAAGGTTAAGCGCTCGGCTGCTAACCTAAAGGTAGGCTGTTGGAACCCACCAGCCGCTCCATGGGAGAAAGATGTGGCAGTCTGCTTCCCTAAAGAATACAGCCTTGGAAACCCTGTGGGGGCAGTTCTACTTGGTCCTATAGGGTCACTATGCGTCGGAATTGACTTGATGGCAATGGTTTTTCTCATCTATCCAGCCAGAGGGCTGTGCACATCTCCATCGGTGCATCCGTCACACTGTATCAAAATTGCTTGTTTACATGATTCTGAGTCCCATGAGACTGAAAGTTCTTCGAAGGCAGGGGCTATGTCTTTCCCCTCATCTTATCCCCAGTGCCCTGCAGCGCTTGGCACACAGTCACAGCCCAATAAATAAATGCATAAGAACGCATAGGGTTGTCAGTATAGAGACTGGAGTGGCAGACCAGAAGCCAGTTAAAATGATCATTGCGAAGTGGTCATGAGAGGTGAGCTGCTGTCGGTGTTTGGAACAATCTGCTGGCAGACGCCAGGAACACTCACCCGCAAGCACGAATTTAGCCATCTCCAAGCAAAGACCCAGTGGCAAGGACTGAGGCGTCAGGGTTTCCAGGCAACTATACCACCTGGGGTAGGGCGCAGGCGCACTCCGAAACTGATCACGGGGTCTGGATGCTAGCAGGAGTTAGATGTGGAGGGTTATGACTTGAAGGGGTTACGTGGGGGTACATGCACAGACATACATTCCCTTTATGAGCCTGATGGTTTACCCTTTCCTCACCTCTGTATTCAAGAAAACTAGTTATTCTTTTCATCGAACTTTCACCCCTTTAAATAACGGTGCAGTTGCGAGAGAACAGTCTTGACCTATGAAGGGATCCGTAACATCTCGCGATGCGCGCAGTTCGCGGGGATGTTGTCATGACTGCGCCTATATGTAGCCACGGGGTTCTGACCTAAGGTGAGTGGAGGACGAGAATCGGCGGAGTAAGTGTCAGTGCCCGCCCCCCACAACCCCCGCTAGCTTTCTTGTCCTGCAGAGAAAGATCTCAGAAGTCGTCTGACACTAAGTTTAGGAGGTGGGTTAATGCTGGGGGTCCAGCTCCCCGTAGGACGGGGCTCCTGAACTGTCTTTGGGCGCTGGTGAGGCTGGCTGGTCTTACTTTCTCTCAAACGCAGACCATATGCAAACATCGCATTCATTTTCTATTTCCTTTCTGAGCCATTCTGCTTGACCAAGTCCATATATTTAATAGGGTTTGGTCGTTGCCAAATCCTCATGTTAAAAAGTATCCATTAATGTTAAACCCTTATTTTCATTGAAGACATCTGCAAGGTAGTGCTAAAATAATATCCCTCTTGCAGAGGAAGCGTTTTGGAACACTTCTCCACCAGAAATAAAGTTGATTTTTTTTTTTTTTTTTAAGATCATGTGTACACAACGGCTACTTCCAAAGTAACCTGTATACTTTAAAACACTGTGCACATTGTTGTAGAAGGGGAGGAAGCCCCTAATGGTAAAATGGTTTTGTTGTTTTAATGTAAATCTTTAATGGCTGGATAGATTCCCTTTTTAGTCTCTGTTAAATGCATCTCGTTTCTTTAAGTAAAAGTTTTGGTTTAATTTTTTTACCTTTTCTACAGGAAAACGACTGCTTGTGTTCTTTTTCACTTGTGGAAGTGCTTTCAAAAGTGTTTCATTGGATAGCAAAATGAATAACAAAACAGGTTGCTTTTTATGGAACCTCAGACAATTCAGTACCCTAGTTCCAGCAAGCAGAAGAACTGTGAGGCTAGTAGATCTTTTGGGATTTTGCAGACCAAAAATTGTTCATCCAAACCGGAACCCAAGAAACCTTTTTTTAAATGACTTTGATAATAGAGTGCATTCATCTATTAGATATCTTTTTCAGAATGCACTGACTTTTAAATCGGGAGATGAGGGCTTTCAAACAAACGGCATAAGCACTGTAACAGTCCCTACAGTTGACAGATTACTTTGTCCTAGAAGACTGTCCTTTGACTCAAAACACTTTTTTGTCTCTGTTGGTACACCTGATGATGGAGTGAAGAAAATAAACTTTCATCATGAGGTCTCCAATGAAGATGTTCTTATCAACGAAGCAAAACCAACCCCTATAACCTATAGAAGACTGTCTCAGGAGTGTAATTCAGTGAGTGATGTATTAGATGCATTTTCAAAAGCTCCTGCATTTCCTAGTAGTAACTACTTCACAGCAATGTGGAAAATTGCCAAAAGTATGTCGGAAGACCAGAAACACTTTGAAAAACAACTGATGTTTAACCACCCTTCGTTTAACCAGCTGTGTGAACAAATGATAAGAGAAGCCAAGATCATGCACTGTGACTGCCTCCTGTTCAGTCTTCAAGCTATGGTGAAACTTGGAATCCCTCAGAATACTCTGCTGGTACAGACTTTGCTGAGGGTGGTCCAGGTAAAATCAAAAGGAGAATTAAACTTCCTTTTACTGTGTTTAGGGAGCCCCGGTGGTGCAGTGGTTAAGTGCTCGGTGCTAACTGAACCCACCAGCCGCTCCAGGGAGAAGGCTGTGGCAGTCTGCTTCCATAAAGATTGTTGTTGCTTTTAGGTGCCATCCAGGTAGTTCTGACTCAAAGCCACCCTATGTACACAGAACGAAACACTGCCCGGTCTTGCGGCATCCACACAGTCATAGTTATGCTTGAGCCCATTGTTGCAGCCACTGTGTCAAACCATCTCATTGAGGGTCTTCCTCTTTTTCGCTGACCCTGTAAAGATTACAGCCTTGGAAACCCTATGGGGCAGTTCTGCCCTGTCCTGTAGGGTCGTTATGAGTCAGAATCGACTCAACAGCAACGGGTTTGGTTTTTTTGGTTACTCTGTTTAGTGTATCTTGAAAGAATGAGTGGGGAGGAGGAAGAGAGATTTAGCTTCCTTGAAAGAGACTCTCAATGGAGTGGTAGTTTCTTTTATATTTATTTCTGCGTGTGTATTACATGATTCAGGAACCTTAAGTTAGCTAGGTTTTTCCTTCCTTTTGCTGTAGAAATATTTTTAAATTTATTTTCCTTCTCCAGGATTGTGTAGTAGTGAAGAGGCTAAAATCAGGGGAGGTGCAAAACATATAAGGAAAGGTTAGGTAGTTGAAGGAAGGGGAGAAGTGAAGGGAACTAATATTGTTGAGTATCTAGGCCCTTTACTCATATAATCTTATTTAATCCTCTCAACAGCCTTGCAAGGTCGATGTTACCTTATTTTGCAGATGAGGAAACTGAGACTTAGTGATGTTAAGCAACTTGGCTAAGGTCACACAGTGAGTGGCAGAGCTGAGATTCAGATTGTCTGCCAGTGTCCTTATTCTACTTTTCATGTACTGGTGAAGTGCTTTTACCAGTGCGTCAAATTTTTCATTGCTGGTGTATAGAAGCACAGCTGATTTTTGTGTTTTGGTCTTTTACCACAGTAGCCTTTTAAAGTAGGCATTATCACTCTCGTCTTACTGATTAGGAAACAGGCTTAGAGAAGTTAAATGACTTGCCCAAGGTCACATATCTGTTAGAGTCACTATATGTAGGTGCCTGATAAATCTTTGTTGAGTAAGTAGTCCATGATAGAACTGGGATTCAGGCCCAGTAAGAGATGATGTCTAAGCGGAGTCCAAGGATGACCGGCAGTTTGTGAAAGAATTGGTAGCAAAGAGGATGGTGTTTCAAGTAGAGCAAAAAGCTTGGGAAGTTTGGGGAGGTGAAAGTAGTTCAGTGTGGCTGAAGTACAGAATGATGGGGTTGTATATATTGAGAGACAAGGGAAGGGAGGATGTTTGTGTGATGCTCAAGAGAAAGGCATGAGGCTGGAAAAATAGGGGCTGAATTAAAAGAGCCTCTTATGCCTGGGTAAGGAGTTTGGATTTATCCTGTAGGCAATGGGAACCCACGGAAAGATTTTTAATAAAAGAATCAGCTTGCTAAATTTGTATTTTTGATCACTGAATGAATGAAAAATAAATTGGGGGAAGGATGAAATTAGAGGGAGGGAGGCACTTTTGATTTCAAATAAGACTGATTTTATGTCCTTGAAATGGCCCCAGACGTGATGAAGAAAGCATTATCTCATTAAAATAATCATTTACATTTTAAGAGTGGAGCGTTCAGACTTCTAAGCCAATGATCATGATGAAATAATTTTTAAAAACAGGAATTTCCTGAGGATGATCTGATATATATTGTATCCAGGTGTAGAATTCATGGATTTGGTTTATAGCTATTTGAGAGTTCTCAACTTTATAACATTACTATGATTTCCATATGTCCTCAACCAAGAATTAATATAGTATGTGTGTATCTAAACTGTAGAATATCTGTGTTTATTTAGTAGATTGAGTATTAGTTCCCTATGTAGTTATTTAAAAGTGATTATAGTAAGTTACTTTACCTGGTCAGTGATGCTGTTACTAGATTTTGAACAGATTTTCCCATCAGCTAGCATCTGCATTGGTGAAGTATGAGCAGTGGACAGTAGAGTAAGAATATGTATGCTTGTGTCTCAATAAGCTGTTGAACTGTTGTGAACACAATTTAGCTAGAGATGAAAGGACAATGAACTATCAATGAATTTGCTCTTCACATAGCCAGGTAATCTTCTTTCACAGCAGATACTTACGGAATGCTGTAAATAGTTATGGAAACCCTTCCATGGGAATGAAAATTTTTTCCCCCCTTCTAACCTTATCCATTTCTTATTACCTATTTCTGACTCAAAATTTTATGACTTGTTAGTCATGCAATTTTAGAAAAATAGCATACCTCTTTAAGCCTAAGTTTCTTCAGATATAATCACAACTCCTCTGGTGAGGCATATAGAGTAGCTGTAATTAAAGTGTAGAGTACTAGGTAAGCTGTGTTACTACACCTACTCACTTATTGACCATTTTGTTATTCGAAATGCTTAACCACTGCACCACCAGGGCTTTTTGAGATCAGATAGTGGTGGTAGAACATGGCTGCAGATCTGACTCAGAAGAATCACAACTGAAGTTAGAACTTGATACTCAGGAAAGCATATAGGATGATTGTAAGGGCATGGCCATCTAAGAGTCTTTAGGAAAGGGCAAATTACTCTGTGTATCTCATTATACTTGACATGACTGCATTTATGCTTGTCTTCATGATGACCTTTAGTTCTAAGAAGTAAAAATATTTGATAAAAGTTATTTCAGAAGCAGAGTAATCAGTATCAAATGGATTTTCAGTGATAATGATGAATGTAAAAAAGTGTTGATGCATGTAAGGGTGAGCATCAGTTATTTGGAAAATTCGCTTAAGTGTTACACCTTTTTTCCCAAAGATGCTGTTTATTCTGGACTGACTGTATGAATTATTGGTTTGATACTTAATCCTTTAATCGAAAGCATCAGTTCAGTGGTTTTTCTTGGCTGAGGTAGTCTACTGTGGGCTCATCACCTGTGATGTTTGTAATTATATTTCATTAGGAACGTATCAATGAGTGTGATGAGAAATGCCTTTCAGTTTTATCAGCTGTTTTAGAGGCAATGGAGCCGTGCAAGAATGTGGACGTTCTTCGAGCAGGATTGCGGTAAGGACTCTCTTAGGCTTTCTTCATGTGTTTTTTTCTGTTCCTCTTATAAAAAACTGAGATGAAAACTGGCCTGCTGTTTTTTGAGGGGTGGGGGAGATGCTTTGTTAGTAGTTATACTCTTCAACCCAATACCTTATTAAACTTAACAACTTGGCTCTGGACTGTGTAAAGCTGAAAATAATACTTTTAGGGTCCACCATTAAAAAGGTGTGGGTAATATTGAGATCTAAATTATCTTAAAACATATTACTGATGTGGGTTGGGGGAAAATTGGCACGTACATTCCATTCACAAAGGTTATTTGGGCACATGACACTGGGTGGGCTTAAAAAGTAACTTGAATTTTATAAATTATAAAATGGATGCAACTGATCTAATACCACAGGTCAGTGAGAATAATACTTAATTCTTTTTTTTATTGCCTATGCATTAGGATATCTTACTGTAATCACCTGATACCATTTGTTCATTAATAAAGACAGTAGAATAATATGGGAGGAAGTAGTACTAGACCAGTTCTGGATCTTTAACTAACTGCTGACGCGCCCTTGGGCAGGCAGATCACTTCATTTCTACGGGCTTCATGTTACTTGCCTATAACAAGTAGGAGCTGGACCAAATGAACTTTTAAGATTTCTGGTTCTAAGATTCTAGAATTGGGATATTTATTGTGTTTGATGACAGGATGCTAGTTGATCAGCAAGTTTGGAAAATAGAACATGTCTTCACATTACAAACGGTGATGAAATGTATTGGAAAAGATGCCCCGATTGCTCTTAAAAAGAAACTAGAGGTAAATGCCTTCCAAATTTTCTCCAGTGTGTGAGATGTGAAAAAGATATTTCTTGTGACCTGCTATGACTTTCTAAAGTCAATTTTTATGAGGACATTGTTGTGCTTTTAGGTTTAGTTTTGCTAAAGTGAAATGACAGAAGTAGATTTGTATTTATCTGTGTATATAAGTGTATTTATCTATGTATATATCTATTTGCAGACTCCTTTTGCTCAAGCTTTATCCTTTTTTTTATTTAAAAATAAAAGTTCAGTTTATTTTGCCACAAATGATAAATTTAGGTTTGTTTTTCTGTAGATGAAAGCCTTGAGAGAATTAGACAGATTTTCTATTTTGAATAGCCAGCGCATGTTTGAGGTACTAGCTGCCATGAATCACCGCTCTATTGTACTCTTGAATGAATGCAGTAAGATGGTCATAGGTAAGAGAAATTTTCTTTTATAACATCTGACCTATGGGTTTGGACTATATTTGTTTTAAAAATTTTGGTATGAAAATATCTCATGATATGCTGGCATCTAAATTTTGTATTTTTGCCTGTAGCTTTTTTATACAATGTAATGCTATTTTTTCTAAAGAAACAAAAAATATCGAGCATCTTGAGTCTTACATTCAAAACTATCTAGTAATTTTTGTTTATTTAACTCATTTTTAAAGATAATATCCATGGATGTCCTTTTAAGATACTGCTCAGCATATTGCAGTCCTGCAAAGACCTCCGATACCGTAATTTAGATCTCTTCAAGGGAATAGCAGATTATGTGGCTACAACTTTTGACATCTGGAAGTTGAAACAAGTGAGTGTGTTAACAGTTTAGAATAAGCCTCAGAAACTTTCATGAAGCATGCTAATTCACTTAGCATTCTACGTATTTCCCTTTTTGCTTTATAAAGTTAAGATACCAAAAATATTCCAATGCTAAACTGACTTTTTAAAAACTAGCTCCTTATTATTTCTGCCCAAGGGTACTTGTTAATCTTCTGACCATCTTTGTATCTGAAAAAAAAATTATATCGTGAAAAGTTTGTTCTTTTTGCAAAAGGTTGTATGGTATTTGGTTATGTATTTAGCATTATTTCTCTATTTCCACTTTTCCTGTTAGATTTAGAGTAATAAAAGTGGGCAATGTGACAGACTGTTTCTTTTTGAAGATTAAAACGTTACTACTTAATGATCATTTCTAGTTTCTTTTCATGGAAAGTTTGCTTGTTTCCTCCAGACTAAAAGTCTTTACATTCAGGTGTGTGTTAGCAGTATAAACATCCAAATGAAGCAGCTGGTAAAAATGATTTACAATGAAGTAGGTGGTAAAAATGATAGTTTTCTAGGTTCAGTGTACTATGTGAGGAAGGTGACTATTAAGTTTACCATGGAAATTGATTTTGGAAAAAGAAATAACCATGTAAGTGAGAGGGACCAAGAGGGAAATAGAAGATGAACTGGAAAATTTCTTTTTATCACAATATCTTATAGAAATTAATATTGAATATAGAATTTTTGCATTATCTCATATATTGGAATCCAGGAAGTATCTAGGTTTGGGGAGGGAGCAGTTCAAGACTGAGTCAGTCATTTTGAAAAACTTTGGAAAAGGCAGATTTCAAATCTGGTGTAGCAAAAGCCGGTAGGAAAGTATTTATTTTTAAAGGAAATGAAATACGGAAACCATTATATACTTTGGTTCTTAGTTTATAAAAAGAGATTGCTTATTAACTTCATAACAGTTTAAGAATTAATGGGACAGATTTTGTGAGGAAAAAATTAATTGTTCCTTTTTAAGGAATATTGTTTTGACCAGGATAGTTCCATTGCTCTATAAATTTTTTGAGATTTAAAAAAAATTACTGTTAGCATGCTATGATTATTAAAGAGTTTTTCCCTCAATTCTCTCTCTTTTTAAGGTTCTCTTACTCCTCATCTTATTTGAAACTTTTGGCTTTCGACCTATTGGTTTGATGGACTTGTTTATGAAGAAAGTAGTGGATGAACCCAGATTCCTAAACATGAAAAGCACCATCGCTATTCTTCATGTGTATTCTTCGCTCAATCACTTCCACAAATGCCAGAACAAAGAGTATGTACTTGTTCTTTTGTACTTTTTCTTGCTGCGTAACATATTTATAGAAAAGATTACAAATCAGAAGCTCTGTGAATTATCACAAGTGAATACATCCATAGCCATCATCTATGTCAAGAAATAAAACATAGTATTCCTACTCACTTCTGAAGGTAAACAGAATTTTATTTTATTTTACTTTTGCTCTTCCTGGTCTTGCTATGGGTTTATGATATATTTGTTAATTCACTGTAAGAGTTTTCATTTTAAACACTCTCAACTTATTCCTACAGCTTCTGAGTTCATAGTTCAGTTTGAGCCCTAACTATTCATTAGGTTCCAAGCTCCTGCTTTGTAATCTTTTCGTTTTAACCACAACCATGTGTTTTCACTAGCTATTCCTCATACATGCCACGCGCTTTCACATGTCTGCCTTCCACCTAGAACATCTTTTCTCTCTTTCTCTAGGGGTCATTGAAAAACAGAAACACATATAAAAAGTTATTTGTTAGAAGAGTAAATAAAAGCACAGAATCTGGAGACAGCTTGCTTTGGTTTGAATCCCAGCTCTGCCATTCATTAGCTGCTTTGACTTTTGGCAAGTTACTTATCATCCCTGTGCCTCAGTTTCTTCATCTATTAAATGGGAATATTAATTATTTCTAGTCACATTGAGGAAACCCTAGTAGCGTAGCAGTTAAAAGCGATGCCTGCTAACCAAAAAGTCAGCAGTTTGCATCCACCAGGCGCTCCTTGGAGACTCTGTGGTGCGGTTCTACTCTGTCCTGTATGGTCGCTGTGAGTCGGAATCGACTCGACAGCAGCGGGTGTGTAATGGGTGAGTCACATTGGGTTGTTGTGTGGGTTAAATGAGTTAGCCTGTGCTAAGTTCTTAAACAATGTCTGGCACACAGTAAACACTATATAATTGTTTGCAATTGTATTGAATAGTATTGAATAGAGTAGAAAAAATTAGATTGTGGGTCACAGATGTCTCGGAGGGACAAACTAGGGCAGCTCTGAGGGTCTCAGTGGTAAGAATTCACAAGCTTTCAAATAACTTGACTCCAGCTGCCTTCTGTCCCTGTGGTAGTCACTCAAGATTCAGATTTCCAAAAGAGAGACTCTGGTTGGCTGAGTTTAGGGTCACATGCCCAACCTTTGAGAAGTTAATCAAAGAAGTGGTGTTGGGCAGACTAAAAAGCAGCAACTCACTTTCCTCTCCTTTGAACTGATACTCCTGTGAAACTCAGCTCATACTGTGTTTTCTGTGCCTTCCCAAATTGACTCCGTCAGAGCCCCTGTATTTGTCCTGACACGTACAAACCTCTGACGGAGCCTTGACTACATAACTGTAATTATTTGCCAACAAGTCTCTCTGCCAGTCAGTGGGAAAGTTCTCTAGTATCAGACCCAGATTCCCATTATCACCAGAACTTAGCACAGGGCCTGGCACAGAGTAGGCATTTAATTAACAAAAGTTGAAAAATGTCCCCAACATAAAACTTTCCCTATTCCTCTGGCTTGGTTTTCCTACGAGATTGGCTCCTATGTGTCTCCTGTACTTACTAGACCAATACTGTCAACCTGAGTGGTTATTACAGCTCTGGAAACAGCCTGACAGATTTCATGTGAGTAGGAGAACAAACACTGGTTGATTAGGGAGTTTTTCAGCTAACTCCAGGCAGTCCAAGAGATAACTTGACCCAATAAAATTGTTATATTTGAACAATTTAACAATTTTAACCTCGTTATCTTTTAACCTAGCCACATAAAGATAGGGAAATTTAATCAGACTCATCAGTTGCAGAATCAGTACAGGAGAAGAATCATGAACCTTGTCCTTTTTTCTCTCTTCTTTGCTTTTATGTAACCCAGTGGTTCTCAACGGAGGTGCATTTGCCTCCCAGAGGGCATGACCAGGGGTAGGGGATGTAGCTGCTGTTGGCATCTAGTGGGCAGAACCAGGGATGCTGCTAAACATCCTGCAAAGCACAGGACAGCCTCCTGCAACAAAGAATGATCCAGGCCAAAATGCTAATAGTGTTGAGGTTAAGAAACTGGTATAACCCTTAACCCCTCACCTCATTATTTCTCCTTTGGAGAAATGGAGCAATGAGAGTGCAATTGTAGATCATGAATAATCAATGAGACTCTCCTGAATGCCTACAAATGTGTGGTTGCCTGAATTTGGTACTCTTAGGACTATAGAGAAAGAAGTTTGTCTTCCCCTGTCTTTTCTAGACGAGGTGAGGAGGCAAGTCTTGTACGTCCAGAGGAAGGCAGTAAGTGGCAAGTACCAAATGAGTGCTTTATGGAGAAGGAAGAGGGCTTCTTGGGCTGGAATGGCAAAGGTTTTGGAAACAGGATAATTCAAAGCATCTGGACTCTGGTGGCACAGTGGTTAAGAGCTCGGCTGCTAACCAAAAGGTTGGCAGTTCGAATCCACCAGTTACTCCTTGGAAACTCTATGGGGCAGTTCTACTCTGTCCTAGATGGTCGCTGTGAGCTGGAATCAACTTGATGGCAACGGCTTTGTTTTTTTTTTTTGGTTTGGAAAGAAAGTTGACTAGAAAAGATGAATTAGGCAGGAAAGTGGTAGAAAATTTGACTTAGCATGTCGTATATCTGTGTACGGTACATTAATTAGATTTCACTTTATGTGATAGCCAGTTGCGGGGGAGGGAGGCGACAGAGGGTTGTTAAATCCAGAGTATCTTTCTGGGTTTGAATTCCAAAGAAGAAAACATTCAACATTTAACCTCTGTCATTACAGTCGTTTGGTGTCTTCTGTCCTGACCTGTACTTCCTATTCTATGGATAATTCCCAGATTTGCATCTCTGGTCATCAGTGTGCTCCTGAACCCAGACCTCAGTCTCCGTGGGTTGTATATGGTCCCTGGACATCCCACAAGTGTCTCGAGTTCAATAATTCTAGAACTCAGCTCATTATCCATTTTATTATTATTATTGTGGTAAATATATAGGTAACAAAATATTTGCCATTTTCAACAATCCTCACGTGCAGTTCAGTGACATTAATTATGTCTATCATGTTGTCAGCTCCTTGTTCTTGACTCATCCTTTTTCACTAACACGCTCCTCCTCCTGTCTTCCTCAGCTAACATTTACCAAACATCTACCAAATACCTGGGTGCTTAGGACAAAAATGAATAAGACACAGCAGTTCTTGCTAGAAGATTCTGTGTAATGGGAAAGGTAGACACGTAAATTGGTGATCAAATACAGCATGAAAACTGGAGCGACAGAATTTTGTACAGGATATGGAAATGGGAGGGACTTAACCTGACAAAGTGGAGAGTCAGGGAATGCTGCCTGGAAGAGACGGTGCCTGAACTGACCTTAAAAGATGGACAGATAGGAGTTAACCAGGAGAGGAGAAGCAGGGAAGAACATTCTGAGCAGAAGGGACTCTATAAGCAAGGCATGGAGGAAAGAAACAGCAGAGCATGTGCAGGGAATGACAAGCAATTTGGAGTTGCTGAAGCGCGAGGGACAGCAGAAGGAGTGGGGCAGGGGAACACTGGAGAGATGATCCCTACCCAGGCCTCACCCATGGCCTGCACCCATGCCCTTTCCGCTGCTGACTGGAAGGCAGTCAGTTATCGGTTTAATAAGGGCTGCTTCACTGTTGTCTCTAGGCTCTGTTACATTTTTTCCATTCCCATGTAACTCCGCCAGTTCTATTTGTCCTACCACCACCTCCTCACCTCGCACACCCACCTGCCCCTGCCCGTGGCACCTGCCAGTTATTAAACATTCTCCTTTACAGTCTCATTGGCAATAAGGACTTAACCTCAGAGCATATTTGCCCCCTGCCTGAGAATCACTGCCCTGTTCCTCAGCCTCACTGGTTACTCACCATTGCTCGAATACCATGTGCTTTCAGGCTCCATTTCTTTGCTCAGTTTCAGATGATGTTCCCCTTTCTCTACTTTCCACCTGCTGAAATTCTACTTATTCCAAAAGCTACTTTGTCCACTTTCCATCCTTATTGCTATCACAGTACTTTGCATGCATTGTTGTTAGTTGCCGTTGAGTCACTTCCAACTGATGGCGACCCCATGTATGCAGAGTAGGACTGCACTGTAGGGTTTTCAAGGCTGTGACCTTGTGGAAACAGATCGCCAGGCCTGTCTTCTGAGGCACCTCTGGGTCGGTTTAAACTGCCAGTCTTTCAGCTAATAGTCAAGCACGTAACTGTTTTCACCACCCAGTGACTCCACTTTGCATGTACTTCATTTTTTTTTCATGTAATATATAGCATGTGCCCTGGGAGTCAGACCAACTTGGATTTAAAGGATATCTGTGTCGTTTATTGGTGGTACCAATCAGGGCAGGTGACTTCACCTAATTTTGAGCTTTCCTCTCTTTCCCTGTGTTTGACTACTTTGTATACTGCGTACCACCAGCTGTGGATGGTAAGACCAGGCCTGTAGTTCTTTTAACGCAGAGTATTGATAGCTAAAGAATTTTAATTGGTTATACAACAGTGGTGTTCCAGGCCTTATAGACATACTCATGATAAAAATCTAAAATAATGGTTAAATGGATGATCTCTGGAGCTTGATGACTTGGGTTCCAGTGTTGTCTCTGCTACTTTCTGGCTGTGTGTCCTTGTAGAAGTTACTCAACCTCTTTGAACCTGTTTACTTATCTTTATTCTGAGGATAATAATGCCTACTCCGTAGAATTGTATGGGAATTAAATGAGTGAAAGCCTGTAAAGCATTTTCTCTGAGCAAGACATACAGCAATAAACTAAAAACCAGACCTTTTGCCGTCAAGTCAGTTCTGACTCATAGTGACCCTATAGGACAGTAGAACTGCCCCATAGGGTTTCCAAAGTTGTAATCTTTATGGAAGCAGACGGCCATATTTTTCTCGCTTGGAGCGGCTGCCACTGACCTTTCGGTGAGCAGCCAAGTGCTTAACCACTGTGCCACCAGGGCTCCTACACATATAGCAATAGCCAGCATTTATAGAGTATGTACACTTAATCCACCTGTTCTGAACAATGTGTGGATACTTATTTGCAAGCCTAATTTTTTTAATCTCTTTTTTTGTACTCCTTATAGCCATTGGGTCTGTGGCACCTCACCAGCTCTACTGTGACCTTGCCTTCTATTTATGTTTAAAAACTGGCTTTCCTTTGTTCCCCTGAAGGTTCCTAGACATTATGGCTGGTGCTCTGACCGGTTATCTTCACCAGATCTCTTCTGAAAACCTGTTGTATGCTGTGTGCTCATTTTGCTTGATGAACCATTTTCCCTTGGCAGCTATTAATCAGCTTCTCCAAAAGGACATCATTAGCGAGCTGCTGACGTCAGGTAACATGTCAATTTCCATGACCAAAATAAAGCACTACCAGTAGCTACCTTGTGTATCTGAATGAGATCTTTGTCGGAGCAGTATTAGTTACAAAATGCAGAGCAGATGTTTGAAGGAAAGGACCAATAATGGTGATGTTATCGGTCAATGCCTGAAGCTGCCTAATCTGTGGAGCCTCCTTTAATGACATCATACATACAGAAGGAAAGAACAAGGAACACATGATCATCATGTCTTTTATTTAGTGACAGAAGCTCAGTGTTAGAAGTTGTTCTTTATCCTTTGATCAGAGGTGTTTGCACTTCCTAATCCTTTCGTGTCACATTTGGAAGCCACCTTCAGCCAACTTTTGCAGCTGTAAACACTTGGTCACTCAAGGCCTGGAATGAGGGCACAGCCTGTTAGATCAAGAAGCCAAATAGTTTCTTAATTCAAATTAATAAATTTATCTACTCCTTGAACCAAATTAATTGTTGACTTTGAATCTTCAGTAAGGAAAAAGCAATTTCAGTATAGATATACAGAATTCGATGATCTGAGAATAAAATGGTTAATTTTTTTTTAAAGTATGAAATACCAAAATTGAATTGTAAATAATAAACATCATGTGCTGATTTTTCAAGCAGTTCAGTGTGGGGGCAGCAGCCTTGAACCAGGAGTCAGGGGACCTGGTTCCTAGTCCCAACTTTGCCATTAACTCATCAAAAGACCTTTTAACATTCCTGGGCATTTCTTCATCTGTGCAATGAGAGGTTTAGACTGAATCATCTCTAAAGATATTTTAAACCTTAAAAGGATTTATCAAGTGCAAGGCATTGATCTAAACACTGGAGACTAGGGAGACATACAGAGATTCCTCCTGATAAGAAACGTTAGCTAGAAGTATAGGCGTATTAATAACAATTTTTAAAATATGACAGTATTTTTCTTAAATAATTAAGAAAAAAATAATATAAATATATTTTGTTTTTTCCTTTTTAGATCATGTGGAGAGAAATGTTCACAAGCTTCATCTTTTGGATACTTGTCTAGAACTTGATGATACTCCTTACCATAGGTCTATAGACATATCACTGCCACAAGTGCTGTCAGCACCAGTACATCCAAATACAAAGGTTGAAGAGGTGCTAAGTAGCCTTCTGGGAGGTGAAGGATACTTCTCAAAAAATGTACAGTTGCCGCATAATTATTATATTGGTATGGGACTTTATATGATTTTCCTTATTTATTTCCTGACAAAAGATTAGAAGTTTACTGTGAGAGTTTAGAGTAGTGGTTAAGAGCCTTTACTCTAGAGCTGGACTGCCTGGGATTGGATTCTCACTCTACTACTTACCAACACTGAGACCTTAGGCACTTACCAGCCTCAGTTTCCTTATCTGTAAAATGGCCATAATAACAGTACCCACTTCATAGGGTTCTTGTGATGAGTAAATGAAAGCCTACAGGTAAAATCTACAGACTATTGTCTGGCACATAGTAAGCTCTCAAGTGTATTTTAACTGCTGCTATTATTATTATTGGTGGCAGTATTATACTATTGTACGTTTTGAAACAAATCACTTGAGCAATGCTTGGAAAATTAATATCAATTCTTTTCTTTCAGATTTTGAAATTAGAATGGATGCTAATAGGAGTCAAGTGCTTCCATTTTCTGATGTGGATGGGGTATTGTCTGCTACAGATACTCAAAGGTTGCCTAAAGATATTCATTTGTGGGCTTTCTGAAGTTAAATCTTAATTTTAAAAGGCTTTGTATTAAATAGCAGTAGTAATAGTAAGACCTTATGTGTGCATGGAGCTTGTATGTAACATACCAAGAGACTTCTCATCCATTCATCTACTTCTTAGGTGTAAGTGTGGGCGCTGTGATTGAATACAGTAGACAGGAGTTGGGCCATTTAATGAAATGGGCTTTTTTTTTTTTTCTATTAGGTCTTGAAGCTAAACAGTTCAATAAAGCAGTGTTAACATAATTGAAACTATCCATGCAGGGTAAAATTTGACAATATAATAGTGATCATACAGACTTGAGACTTCTACAGTAATCGAATACCCAATAAATCTTTCGCTTTACCACCAAGACCTTTCCAAAGCTAGAGAAACTTGAGCTTTTTAATTAATCTCTACTGTCTATGGATCTTAGGCTGTCTCATTGACTCACACACTACAAATAGGGTGTCTCTGGAAAAATGTGATGTTATAGCATGAGAGAATGGCTTCCTTTTAAGTAGATGCATAAGATCATGTAATATATTGCGCGTACTTCCTGCTCAGTCAGCCTTTGTGGAAAGACTGCTCAGCTCTCTAGGCATACAGAGGTGAATCAGACATGGAACCTGACCTGAAGGGATTTATATCTCCTGTTGCACAAAGGACATGCACATAAATATGACAGAAGTATAGAAAAAGTTCTGTAGGAGTTCAAACTCTATATCCCTATCCTTTTCCATTCACGTACAGTTCTGTAATTTTGACCCCTTTAGGAATCCGTCTAGCTTGTTTCTTAGCCATCTTTCTCAGCTATTGTCTTCCCTACCCGTGTTACTCATTTCCCCTCAATAAAGGCTTCCTGTCCAACTCCTTTCAAAGATCACTCTTTTTCAGATACTCCACTTTTTTTGGCATAATAAAATAACATAGTAGTTCTCAACATAAAGGACTGAGAAAAAGTGAAGAATCGGAGCATTCCTTTAAAAATATAAAATTTCTCTTATGTTATCTAAGGTAACAGCCAGAGTATAGAAGAAGACAGTAAAGATAGTAATGTTTTTTGTTTTTTGGGTCTTTTCCTCTCAATGAAATTAATATTTCCAGAAGGACATGAACAATGGAAAAACAAATGACACCATCCACATCTTTGTTACACATACAGATTTTATCTCTTCAGTAGTCTTGCTTTTTCTCTACGGGCTTTCTTCTTTGTCTTTGGTCTGTCTGTTCTGGCATTTAAATGTTACTCCCTGTACATGAGACGGTTTGTTCAAGAAGAGTATATATCATTTGGTATTGTCTACACCAGTACTTGTACCAATAGTTTAATCATATTCAGATCATTAATCAGCACTGCAAAAGAAAGCCTTAAGATGGGTGCATTCATATATGAAAATTTTCCTCCTCAAAAATCTGGCCATCCTTAAAGATGACTGAGGGATAACTGTTGCGTGTAAAGCATTGTGATAAGCTTTTGGTTTATGACGTACGCTTTATATGAAAGTGAAGGAATAAGATAGTGAGGAGTGGTGAGGAGTGTGGTCAGTGGAGAGATCAATTTTGAAACTCCAAAGAGTAGGAATGCTACATGATTGTAAATGGTAATCTTTTTAGTGACTTTTCTTTTGTTGTTTAATTTCATTTTCAGAGTAGGTGTGCTATGTGTTCGTAGATCTAGTTATTGTTTGGATTCAACCCACCCGAGAGGATTACTTGCCATGAAGATGCGGCATTTGAATGTAATGGGCTTTCATGTGATCTTGGTAAGAAAAAAATGCAAATGAAATATTCTTTAGTTACTAACGTATTGATAATAAAAAAAAGTAAACCTGTTGCCGTCGAGTCGATTCTGATTCATAGCAAGCTTATAGGACAGAGCCGAACTGCCCCATGGAGTTTCCAAGGCTGTAATCTTTATGGAAGCAGATTGCCAAATCTTTCTCCCTCAGAATGGCTAGTAGGTTTGAACTACTGACCTTTAGGTTAGCAGTGGAGCTCTAAAACACTGCTCCACCAGGGCTCCTTGACGTTTTAACAGCTGTCAGAAATGTTGCAGTTGAATCAGTTACTAGGAGTTGCCGGGAATTGTCAGCATTTTTGGGATAAGTGTTTTAGCAGTTGTTTTCTCTGAAAAAGAACATTCCTGGTCTATAGTTTGGTTTCCACTAAAACGATTGCTGTCATTTACTAGGTAAGGGTTTTATAAATGTTGTATTTGGTCATCTTTTATCCTTTTTCTTCGAGGTAGAAAGTCAGTAATACAGTTTTTTGTTTTGTTTTGTTTTGTTTTACTTAATTTAAGACTCATGAAACCATATCTATTTCCAAGTTACCTTGAGCAAGGGAAGAAAAGATGTTTAATTAAAGCTTTGCTTTCATGGGCCAGTGTGAGGCTGTTCTAAGATGTTTGTTACCCAGAAAAGCTGGATATTGTAAGAGGGTGATTCTTCCTATTCCTTGTGCTTTATTTTGATTCCGAGCACTACAGCGTTCCTTGAATAGCCTTTCCAGATGTGTCTGTATGTAGCAAGAACCTTACAAATAAATTTATCTTTATGTTAGTATTGGGATCTAGAGGGATGCCACTCTTTTGCTCCTACACTTAATGTGAAGTGTAAACAATCCAGTCTCCCATTGGATTACACATGGATTACCAAGGTTAAGATGGCCCCTTTCTCTTTATGGACTACTATTTAAGACATATGGGCTAAATGTGTCTTCTGACTTCTCCCAAGAAAGAAGAAATTTTTGTACCGTTTAGAGGACTTTTAAAGTCTTTATAACTTTACACTGTTAGAGCTTTCTTCAACCCTGGCATGTAGTATAATTAGGCCATTAAAATAGGAGTAATTATAAGGTAATATTTGCTTTTAAAAAGCAGTTGACTTGTGTTACTTTAAAATGCTTGGATCTCTAAACTGGTTTTTATTTGATGTGTCATCATCTTCTTGCAAACTGATTATTTTCCTCTTTCGTTGGTAAGGTCAATACTTGGGAGATTGAAAAACTAGAGATGAAGGATGCAGTCATGTTTTTGAAGACTAAAATTTATTCAACCGAAGCCCTTCCTACTGCTGAAGTAAATTTGCAAAGCACGTATTAAAGTGAAAAGCAACCTTTTTATTTTAAGAAAGTTTGTAAAAATAACTTTAATAAAGACTACAGTTCAGTTTACGATGGAATTCACCTGACTGCTCACCACAATTAAGTGTTACTTCAGTTCACTGTTAAATTAGTTTTAATAATGAAGGAATGTTGCTGCTGGCATTTTAGAATATACAGAAAAAAAAAATCAGAACCACACCTATTCCATCCAGTGCGTGGATGTTAGACAAATCAGTGAGCTCCTGGTTTTACTTTTCTCATTAGCTATGACACTGGGAACTGGCTTCTCAGTTGCCATAGGTCACCAGGGAAGTCCTTGGGTTTGGTTCTGCATCTTATACTCCTATTATAAACTATTTTAAGATAACTTAAGGGCTATACCTCCAAATCATTTTCAAGCATTAGCCAGATAGTAGTTGTCCCAGATTCTTAAATTGTAGGGTGTGTAAGAATTAGTTAGGTAGCAGGTTAAAAATGTAGACTCCTGGGGTTAGGGTGAGGATCTGACATCTGTGTCTGTACCAAGTACTCTGTAAGTGATGCTTTTGAAGGTTGTTCCTGGGCCATCCTTTCAGAAACACAGATGAGACAATACATAGATGGCAAGGAGTCTACTTTTATTAAAACTGAGAGGCCATTGGTTGTTACTATTGTAACTCTTGCAGTTGTTGAGGTGATTCCTTTTTCTTAACTTTCCTCCCCTTTACCCCTCCCACTATTTCATGAAGTCTTTTAAATTAAATATATAGCTCAACTGTGTTGTGAGTCAGACCTCAAAATAGTTTCTCAATTATGTTGTTTAATTATTTCATTTTGTTCAAATAATTGTTCATTTGCTATGTATCCACTTACCTATGATCTGACCCTCTGAGGATACACTGATGAATAGGCGTGGTCCCTTATGCAACCTACAGTATGCATGCCATGCAAAATTGGTATTAATTTCTACCCCCACGTACACAGGCAAGCAGTTATCCAGCATCTTTCTGTGTGCCAGGCACTGCTAAATATTTACGTGTATTATCTCTTTTCATTATCTTAACAACCCTTTGAGATGTTAGCTTGCTAGTATGATTTCCTCTGGGCCTTCATTTCCTCATCTCTAATGGGATTAAGTTATTTGGCCAAGACTAAGCAGATAGTAAAATGATAGGTCTGAGTTTGGACCTGAGCTTATGAGAAAGTTGAGGAACTCCAGCAATATGAGAGCAGCTGTCAGAGGTTTTAGGTTTTAGCCCACTTACATTTAGAAAAAAGAGCTGGAAGGACGTTTAGTGATCCTTTAGTCCACCTACCTCATTTTATGGATGAGGAAGTTAAGGCTTGAAGAATTTGATTTTTCTGAAGTGTCAGTCTCATCACTGATTTCCACATCATTTCATCTTCTGCTTCTCTTCAGTTTGTGTTCCAGGACATCTGGATTCTGGTTCAAGATTAGGTGTCATCTCGTTTTCTGTACTTGGCCAAGTGATTTGACCTTTACGAGTTTTAGAACATGAGATGAAAATATTCCATTATAAAAAAAAATTAAGGTACATGCTTTAAATGTTAAGTGTGTATCAGCTTCTTCTAATGGCTAATTATGACCCATATTCAAAGGATTGGATGATTTGGTCACATTTATGAATACTTATAACCAACTTTTCAGAAGATAATTCTCTTGAGTTTGTACTAGTTGACATGGCAGATAAAAAGACTCTCCTGATTGACTGTCTCTCTGGTGTTAGCATTCTTCATGCTTTGTGATCTAAAATATGAGATTCAAGGTGTAGTGTGGTGGGAAGCAGTTTGTTTTAAGTGATATTAAGTCTTCTCGGAATTATGGATATGAAGGTTTACTTCCCACTCTAGGAGAATATGTAAATATTCGCATTCTTTTCTGATATTTATTTAACTCTCAGCAAAAAAAACTGGGTGTGACTCTCATGTACCCATCTCACACAATGAGAAAGGAAACATAAATAAGCAAAAATTGGGAGTTTATAAATCCTAATTTGACCGTTGTTAGGCAAATCACAGAATATTTTGTGTGTTAGTACTGCTATCTGCATTTCAAAAAGGATAAAATTAACCTATTTTACTGTGTTAACCAACTAAAAGAGTGAATAAGAAAAGTATACGTTGACATGTTTATGTATATAGCTTGCTTGTGATGTAGTCTTATGATAGCAAGTCAGCCAACTAGTGAAAGAAATTAGGTGATTATGAAAGACTTCTATGATTTTTATGTCTAGTTCTGTGTTCTGACTTTGGGCTTTTTTTGTACGCGTTTGGAGCAGTGTTAAGATATAGTTTATTTTGGGTTCTTGAACTTCTTCAAAATGTCTAACATATTTTTCTCAAATAACATGCCCACACATGTAACGCGTGGCATAGCTCGCTCACGAAAATAGCAAGGGGGAGAGGCTGCACCCTTGGCAAAAAACATGTAGTGTATGTGTTATTTGCATAAAAATACAGTATTCAAGTTATAATTACATGACAAATATACTTGTATTTATATCAAGAATATATAAAGGTAAAGATCAAGCCCAAGGGGAAAAAAGTGGTATATTTATGACAAATAGATACATAAAAAGCTCCTACAATTTGATAAGAAACACACGAACATTACAAAAAAAACGAAAGGACAAAACATGAGCTTATCAACATGAAAAAAATTCAACCAAATAATAAAGACATGCACATTCAAAATGAGTTATTTTTGCCTTTCAAATTAGCAGATCTTTTTTTTTTTTTTTTCTTTAAGACCTACAATACTGACAAAGGTGCAATGAGACAGGCACTTGCATTTGCTTCTGGTAGAATGTAAACACAACCTTTCTGGAATGTACTTTGTAGCTTCTCTCCTCCCCCTAGTATTTTTTAAAATAGCTTTATTGAGGTATAATTGACGTACAATAAATGCATATATCTAAAGTGGATACTGTGATAAGTTTTGACATGCATATACACCCATAAAACCATCACCACAATCAACTTAATGAATGTATTCATCACCCTTAAAAGTTTCCACCCTATAAAAGTTTATTATAACAAAAAAATCAGTAAAACCCAAAGTGTTAAGAAAGATGTTAAACATTGATTTTGTGTAAAATTTACAAATACATATTTGTTTTAGATTTCTTAATAAGAAGCCCTCTCTCCCTGCATCCCCTGGAAACCACTGATCTGCTTTCTGTCATGGAATGGCCTTTGACTGTATATATCCAGAGTCTTGAAAATGCTATCTGTTGACATTGACCCAGTAGTTAGATTTTTAGTAATGTGTGTGCCTGTTACATAGTACACACCGATAAATATTTGCATTATTCCTTCATATGTGCAAAGATCCTCATCACCTTGTTAATATGATATTTTCACATCATAAAAGCCAAACACTGAAAACTAAAGTGTTCATCATTACTGGAATGGTTAATTATATCATTATCTTCTAAGAACTTGCTGCTCAAAAGCTTGTTAGAAGTACAGAATCTTGAGACCCATTTCAGACTTGCTGAACCAGAACCTGTATTTTCATGTTTCAGAAATGAATATGTATTACTTTTCTAATCAAAAAACAAATTATTGGTTTATCCAAATCAATTTCTAATGTTTGATTCCCCAAACAGCATTTTAGCAATCGGTGATAATCACTATGAGCTTAATATGTACCGAGAACTCTGGGGAAATACAAAGAAGTGAAGACAGAGGTCTTCTCAAGGTGCTTACAATCTTGTTGGAGAGAGAAGATGCCATTATTGCATGCTGAAAGATAACTTGGTGTATGACAAGGCTTAAACCAGAAGATAAGAGGCAGTTAGAGGGGAAAGAGGTCACCGGGTTGGGTTTTCAGAGCTAGCTGTATAGAGGAGGATGAGTGAGATTTGGCAACATACAAAGGGAGACTGTATACGGTCTGAGAATTATTTCTTCCAGGTGTTTATAGGATGGCTCAATGGTGGATGTACAAGTGATAAATTTTGATAACTAGATTTTAAAAGGTAAAGAAGCCAACAGTTTATCCTCTGCATGGAATGTTACAGCGAGTAAATAATTTTCTTAGACTTACTGTGTAATATTGTATATATGATACTGTGGCATGTATTGCAAATTGGCTCATTTTATTCCATTTCAATTCCTACCTTTTTCACATCATGGTGCACCCAGAAAATGGTAGTATTTCCAAAACATTAAGCTGGCGAGCATTTGGTTTTATTTGGGGCTTTTGGTAGAAAAAATAGTTATATTGTCTTTATATGATATAACAAAAAATAAAATCAGTAAAAATCCAAAGTATTAGGGAAGATATTAAATACGATTTTGTGTAAAATGTACAAACAATATTTTGTCAGATTTTTTAATAGGCTGGATCTTGCTGTCTGGAAATAAATACCAAGCTGTATGCTTAAAATGACTACATGCAGTACTTGATCAAGACATTTTAATGACAAGCTCTTCAAGTTCTTGATAGTCACCACTGACAAGAAATTTTGTTTATAAAAGTAACTGATGATCAACCAAATGGTGCCCGGCTACCACCACCGACTGCTCTGACAGGGATCACAGTAGAGGGTCTTGGACAGAGATGGAGAAAAATATAGAATAAAAGTCTAACTAAAAAAAAAAAAAAGACCAGACTTACTGGTCTGACAGAGACTGGAGAAACCCCGAGAGTATGACCCCCGGACACCCTTTTAGCTCAGTAATGAAGTTGTTCCTGAGGTTCACCCTTCAGCCAAAGATTAGACAGGCCCATAAAACAAAAAGACTAAATGGGCACACCAGCCAAGGGGCAAGGACGAGAAGGCAGGAGGGGACAGGAAAACTGGTCATGGGGAACCCAAGGTTGAGATGGGGAGAGTGTTGACGTGGGTTGGCAACCAATGTCACAGAACAACGTGTGTATTGTTATTAATGAGAAACTAGTTTGCTCTGTAAACCTTCTAAAGTACAATTTAAAAAAAAAGCAACAACAAAAAAGTAGCTGACGAAGCAATTTAAAACCATTTTAAAAACTTAAAAAATTGAAAATTGTATCTAGAGCCTAACAGCTCGTTGTTTTCTGTCGCTGACAAATGTCATACTCTACCAATTCCACCTCTGGCAATCTTTTTATGCTAGGACCACATTATCCTGGAAGAGGGAAAGGAACGATACCATCAAACTTTTGCCCAATTGTCTCAGGAATTCATTCCTTACTTTTACCAAAAAAAAAAAAGGCAATGAAGAGAGAAATATATGAAATTTATTAAATACATAATATTTTATCTTATTATAATTTTTAAGTTAAATTAGATGAAGAGCCAACACTATCATATTTTGATACCTTGAAGGAATTGGAGGTTGTGTAGATGCCTCAGAAAATCACCCATCTTACTAAATGCTGATCTTGAAGAAAACCAGTTGGATTAAAGATCAATAAAACAGAGGTTACATCCATCGATGTTGCTCCTGCTGTGGTTACAGGCTGTCTGTTGAACCAGTGGGCCCCAAACCATCCCATCCACAGGCCATCGATGTGCCCGCTCTGTAGCCAGCTGCCCTAGTGCAGAACTCTGCACAGCACTTTGAGAGGACACTACCACTCCCTCAGCCGTTGTCCTCAAAGCACCCCCAAGGCCAGAGTGGTTAAGTGAAGTAAATTTTCCAAGTCTGGCCACCTGTACCCAAACCAGCCTTTACCCTGCGATAGTGTAGCTATGACTTTGGTCCTACCTCCCCAGCCCAATCTCCCTCTTCTTTACTGTAGGTTCTGGCCCTTGTGTGTTTCTCTGTCCCTGAACTTCAGGCTCTAATCTTTGAATGACAAAATGGAAAGCTTTTTAAAGTCTTTCCCCTAAGGGGTCTTCTCAGCCCCTATGTAAATTTGCCCACCTCCTCCCCAGTGGCGCCAGCACTCTGCACAGCAAGGGGTTTTGGGGGTGGGCGCCTTTGTTGAGCTTTCTCTCCCTGGTCAGTGGGTGCCTACGTTGAAGTCACTCAGAGAGACTTGCCAAACGAAACTGATGTGCTCTGACATGACTGGCCTAGTTTAAATATCTTTAAATTTACTGAGAGAATTGGTCATCAAAAATCCTGCATAGGACTTCTGGCAAAATGGCGCTCTAGGCAGAAGCACCACGCTGTCCCTCCACAGCAAAGATCCGAAAAACTAAGCCGAACAGAGAAAACAACAATCCTGAAACCCTAAAATATCAAATGAAGAGATAAAGAACTCAGCCAAGCACCAAAGGAGTGAGAAAACTGGCAGAGAATGG